CCAAATCTAGTGCACCTGAATACGATGTGAACGCCTTACATACATTTCATTTACCGGTTGATTGAATATATTGTATCACAAATTGACCCTTACTGTTTTCCGTATATCATCTGCTCATGGCTAAGTATAATACATTTGTATTATCATATAATTCCTGATCGTGCATAAATGTTGTAAATACTTACCGAAATTTATTTACAATACAATACCTGTATTATTTTCAAAACGTTAAATTATATTTCTGCTTTCTGGTAAACATGGATAAATTAAGATTTCATATAGTGGACTATGTTGTTATGGCATTGTTTCTTGTTATTTCAACTATAATTGGAATATATTACGGGTTTTTTAAGCAGCAATCGACAACAGAAGAGTACCTTCTTGGTGGACGCCGAATGCATCTATTTCCGGTAGCGTTATCGTTATTGGTGACGTATCAGTCTGCGATATCTGTTCTAGGAGTTCCGGTCGAAGTTTATCTGCACAACATGATGTTTTTATACCTTTACTTTGCAATTTGCCTTGGATATTTAATACAAGCACTTTTAATAGTTCCACTTGTTTACCCGCTTAGGTTAACAAGTACATACGAGGTAGGAATATTTTTTTTTCAATAGAGAAAATATCAAATTTAAGAATGCTTCTAGTATAAAAGACACAGATGACCATTTCTATCAAAGTAGTATCAAAGTCTGAAATCATCTTCTCGTTCACATCAATAATTTATGAGCATTTATAGGAGTATATTGTGTTCACAATGCATTTCTTTAAATATTTAGTTCATATATTTAATATGTTTCGAAGGCATTTTAATAAAACTTACATAAATTAGGTTCAATGGTCACATCCGCTTGAACATATCTGCGAATGTTTTTCTAGATTTAAAATGTCACCACTTGCATGTTTTAATGTTGAATTTTGTTCAAGCCGATGCTAGTGGGGAATGAATGTTAACTTTCACTTCCAGTGCCGTCAATGAACAGGCTCAATCAAACCGAGCCTGCAACATTTTCAATTTTGCCGTGTTGGGCTTTCTTTAGGGATTCTGTATTTATCTATTCAATAAAACCGAGCCTTCAACATTTTCAATTTTGTCGCTTTGGGCGTTCTTTAGGGATTCCGTTTTACCCTATTTTAAAATTACATTTTACGTTTGGTATAAAACATTTCAGTATCTAGGGCAACGATTTCAGTCTCGATCAGTTCAGCTGCTTGGTACTGTTATTGGAATGTTACAAACAGTACGTATATAGCACTTAAAGTTTCTTGAACATATAGTAAAAGTCTTGAGTAACATAGGACGCGTTGTCAATAAGTAGTGCCATATATTTAGAATATATCCATACCAAATAAGATATATACATTATTGAATATATCTATGAATATTATGGTACAAATGATTTATACATAAACATATACAAAACAAACAACTGCTTAAGTAAAATGAACATTTTAGCTCAACCCTTCGGTAATATGACTGACCTTCATTGTATATACATATACATTGTATATTTTTATATTTTACAGCTTCTGTATATGAGTATAGTCCTTCTAGCTCCAGCACTTGCTCTAGAAGCAGGTAAATTGATTTAAAAAATATTTAAAAAGGCAATTACTAAATCAAATGAATGTTACTTGCATGATACAGTCCCCTCCTATTTTTATTCGGTGCCACACTGGGTGCTTTGCGGCTGTGGGTGGGTTATACCGGACGTTGCATTGTGTAAACGTTGCCTTGCCGTTGTTGGCATTTTCTTGTTCTTTCTTTTCTTTTTTTTTCTTTTTTTGAAATATGAAGAAACATGTTTGCTCAATATATCCCTAATCTCGTGGAAAACATTACTGTCACTTCTAGTGATACTTTTAATATCAAGAACATTAATGGTCGTAAATATATCATAAGAGATTGTTTAGATAAAAGAACTCATATTTTTCTTTTTATAGTTGCTGGGGTTCCGCTATGGTTGTCTGTCATTATCATTGGTGCCATTGGTACCAATTTTTTACATCCTTTTTTTGGGAAAATTAAAACTTTTTACAGTAACTAAATTGGGGGTTAAAAAAAACAAAGGGATCTCATAGGGGGAAAACCCCTTTTTTTGTAAACTTTTTAATTTTTTTACAAACATTTTTTTCTAGTTATAAAACTAAATTTTATTTTGTAAAAAATTTAAAAAAAATTGGGTAAATTTTAAAATTATAAAGGGTTTTTTTGTTTTTTGGGAAATTGGCCAAAATTACAAATAATTTTAAAATTTAAGAAGGGGGTTTTATTTTGATTTCGTTTGATGTTTTAAGTTTCTACTGTCCATAGTCGATATTCATTGTTTTACCAAATATTTAAACAAGGACTTGCAACATTTAAGTATGTTTTGATACACGAAATTTCTTAATTAACTAACTGTATCACAATTAGTTTAACATCAAATCATTAATGATATACACGTTTTTAACTTTAATCACGAACTCCGAATATGACAAAAGAATTTTGGTAAACTTTGTTAACCACTTGAATTTTTATCTTATCAACTACATATGCGGAAGTTCCTTAATTCCAAATTTTACCAGTTAATGTAAAATGTTGGATACTGCTGATGCCGGTGCTAGAGGGCGTGGACGGTAACTTACACATTTCATTACCGTTCATGAACAGACTGAATCAAACCGAGCCTGCAACATTTTAAATTTTGTCGTTTTGTGCGTTCTTTACGGATTCTGTTTATTTCTCTATTTTTTCAAGATATGAATGAATGCACGAACTATACTACTTTTTACAAAGCATCAATTGTTTATTTAAGGGTGGACTGAGAACAGTAATATGGACGGACGTGTTCCAGTTTGTAGTTCTGTACGGCGGTCTTATGGTAATATTAGTTATGGTATGTGTGAAAAGCTTTTTTGCTCTCACCTTGTGCTTCATGATTTATAATTTAACAAAACCAGTATATGAATAACCGTGTTCCTTATGTCTGCCGTGAAAAGTACAAATATATAACCAGTTTTGGTCGGTTTTACGTCGCACCAACAGTATAGGACATACGGCGCCTTTCCCGCTTTACTAGTAGAGTAAGACCTCAAGCGCCCTTCCATGCATTTCAGGCACGAACGGGCACATGAGTAGTAACCATCGAAGTTATGTAAGCTAGCTGAACAGCTTCTTTACATGAAATAATCCAAAGTCCCTGTCAGGTTTGAACCGACAGTGGTGAGGGCCAAGTGGTTTAAAGTCAACAACCTTAACCATTCGACCACGGGCACCACCTCGAAGTCCTAATATGTATTTATTTCAGATGCTTCAACTATAATATCTGGTTTTATATTATAAACATTTCAGGGTGGAATAAAAGTCGGAGGTTTCACAAAAATATTTGAACTCGCGTACGAAGGGGAGAGAACTGCATTCAATAAGTATAAATTTCATTCTTTTTATGTTAATTTCAAGTGACAACGCATGTTTGTGAATATATTTATCATCGTTATAGTTTATGGTGCTTCAAATTTATATTCAGACCAAATACAATGTAAGCCTTGAACCAACTTAAGCAATGTCCAATAAAAGATTTAGGCAATATGAGCAAGACTGCTAAATTTTATTGGTATTATACAGATTATCTTGGTACTCCTCATGACAATCTGATTGAAAAACATTGTATTTTTGTGGCAATATGAGGAATGTTCAACCGTGTGTGCATAAAAGTACCTGAAGATTTCAATGAAAATTATATTCGATTCCAAAGTTTCAGTCGTCTGAAACGACTTTGACAATATTTTGATCTGAAAAGTATATTGAGCCTATGAAGCAAAGAAGAGATTTACTTGCCAAGGGTCAGGTGAATACATATGTATGACAACCTTTCATTCCTGCTTCAGAATCTTGAGCGTTGACGCATTCTCATGCAGCAATCTGCTGTGAATCGTTCTTTTGCATATTACGAAGCACGTCTATTTTTAAAACAAGCCATTATACTTATTTGCCTTAAGGTATACATAACCTGAATGACGGGATCCTTAGTTGTAAAAAATATGGCATCTTTCGTATAGGCTCAAAAGAGCATATGTATCGTCCAAGAAAGATATTGGAACAATATAATCGCCATAATTTTTGCGAATTACATGTATTTTTCTGCTTATATATCAGCAGATGGATGGGGAATCTGTCTATCACAAATCTTTTATATTTTTAATAACATCTGTAAACTGTATAAGCTCATATTCTTAAGATACCTTCCACACTATTTGCTTAGCGATGAATCTTGCTTTAAACAACTCCACGTTTAAATTTATCAAACTAATAGGGAAATAAACCGTATTCCATTTTGCCCATAAACAGAACATATTAAAAAAAAATGTCTTCAAACCATGTGTCAAGAATACAAATATGTTCAATATAAGACCGTATTTCTTCAGCGTTCTCCGGTCTTCGACTAACCATTTTAAATACAAGACTAGTCAATGTTTTTACATGACCATGACCCATTACTGAACGAATTATAATTTTAAATGCATACATATTTGAACTGTTGTCGTACGCATGGTCAATTACACTGTCTATTTCTTCGTTTTCAAATATCATTTCAAATAAAACAGAATGAGTGGAGATCCGAGAGTACGACATACTGTAGTTGGACTATTGATTGGCGGGATATTTCAATGGTTACCAAACTGTTGTAATCAGCCGGCTGTACAAAGAATTTGCTCTATGAGGTCTGAAAGAGATGCAAAAATGTAAAATGTTCCTTGATATTTAGACCTTGCTTGATAATGATCTTAAATTTACGAAACAATTTGTACACATCTTGAAATCTGAGTTTTAAGACATTGTTTGTTCTTCAAAATGTATTAAGATAATCATTTCATGTACTGGACCATTAATATCATTAATACGAAGATAGATTCTTTCATTTTTAACATTACACAATTTATTTAATTGAATAGAGAATACGATAACATTAATGATATAATGATTTGTGTTTTCATACCAATAGATCGACTTATTTGACAATTCCACTGATGTTAGTGTATGGTGTTATCCTAACTATCACCGGGTTGTTGTTGTATGCTTACTTCGTGAATGAACAGTGCTGTCCTATTGAGTCTGGAAAAGTTGGAAACGCGAACCAAGTAATGCAACATCAGTTTCATCTCGCTGTAATGTGTATCTAATATTTAAAATTATTTTGAAAAGAAACGGCATTTGGATTTGAAATTGAATGTACATGTAAAGTATATTAATTCAATTAAAGACACCATACTTATTTGCTTGTGTAGCAGTAAGGCATCGTGTCATAAGACAGTTATCTAAAACCAAAATGGAAATAGGTGTCTATGATAAGAATAAGACAAACATCTGAAGAATACTATATATAATTAAACTAACTCTTCTTTCAGTTGATGCCATATTTTGTGATGCACGTGCTAAACGACGTCCCCGGCCTTGGGGGAATATTTATAGCCGCTTTATTCAGCGGTGCATTAAGGTAAGACAATAACATTGAGGGAAATAAGATGTTAGTAATTTTCATATGTTGCTTTATCTAAAAGGTAGAACTATTTTGTTTCTTGCTCATGTCATCTTTCTTGTCAATATTTATTTTAATAGGAAGTAATGTTCTTCTGTAATTGGTAAACTTACTTCAAAGCAATCAAATATCATGTCACTTCAAATTTAATTTATGTGTTCGAAAACAATTCTGGTTCCATTTAAGTGTTGTCAGATGAACAATTTAAAGCTTTTTTGTTTTTTGTTTGGGGTCTTCCTGGGCTCTTTGCCGCTGGGTCGTGTGGGGATAGCGTTCATTGAACGCCACATTTCCTTGTTGATCTTGTTTATCATAATTTAGTTCGTTGTCGTCAGGGATCAACTCTATGTCAGCCAACACGCTACAAGATATCCTTGTTAACTGTCTAGAGAATGTGACACAGCAAAGAAAAACAATGATTGCTAAAGTGATTGGTAAATAATAAAACTCATTTATTTTACACCTAATAAAATATAATTAATGAACTTTCAGCGTTTTTCCAAATGATGACCAAATAGAAATAATTTTTGGAGATAATCTTATCAATTAAATCTCGTTTTCAATTTTGAGAGTCCAAATATATTTTTCAAATCCTAATTGCATTAGAAGTAACAAGGTACTGTCAAAATGTCAAACAAATGATGGTATGAAATAAAGAGGTCATTATACATTGTTGAGGGCAATGCGTATTCTATTAGACTCGTTAACAGCTGGCGTCTCGTCCAATATAGTTTTGACACCTATGTACTCGTCCAATAGAATTCAGTTTTGTACTAAAAAAACCCTCATAATAGCATATATACGAGTATATATATTCTTATAACAGCAATCCTGTTTATTAAGGATTACATAATATACATTATGTATAAAGGAAAATTGAAATCAGACTTAAAAATCATCTCTTTTAATTTGATATACAGAATCTTGAAAAACATTTTGAAATTGCTGTATCAAACTAAAACATATCTGTTATGTTAAGGTATACCTAATATATAAAATGTTGAACATAAATTTAAAAACAGACTAGAAATCATCTGTTTTAATTAAAAAATACACTTTTAACAGACTGAAAATTCATCTGATTTTAATTAGGTATACTTAATATACAAAATGTTGAAAATAAATTTGAAATCAGACAAAAAAAGCATCTGTTTTGATTAGGTATACCGAATATTCAAAGTACTGAACCGTCTTAGCAACAGTAAATGAAGACGATAAGAAATATTATACATGTATTTACATAAATATTTCAAAAGATCATAACACAAAGTGAAACACTTCAACAGTGACTGATATATATGTATATTTTCACTGCTGCTGTTATTCAATTTCAGTGTTGGCATATGGTGTTCTAGCAGTTATATTGGCGTATATGGCACGTAATCTCTCTGGCCCAGTATCACAGGTACACTTAATTTATATATAAACTAATTCATTTTAATCAAAATGATGTTTTTAAACTACAATATATAATAGAAGTGATGTTTTGAAACTACACTATATAATATTATGGATTAATTGCTTTATGACTATATGACTATAAAGTTTGAAATACAGAATTTGATTTAAAATATTTTATAAAAGAAATTGCACTCGTATTGATCAGCATTTGCTCATTGTAACGTAACTCAATATGATACACTTACCTTTATGCTTACATATCAGCTGAGAAACCTATTTACGTAACATAATGCATGGTGTATGGCGTCAATAAGGAGCAAGTAAAGGTATAAATAAAACTTTAAAAAAACAGAATTCGAATAAGGACATTACATTACTCTTTCCCCTTAACTTTAAATGTCGAACCTTCTCACAGAGTTTTTGCATAGAAAAATAACCTTTATTGTTCTGAAATGATATTCAGATATATAACATATCTAAATTACAGATGGCGCTTTCAGCATTCGGATCAGCAGGTGGTCCTGTAGTTGGAATATTTTTTCTAGGAGCAATGTTTCCTCAAGCTAATTGGATTGTAATGGCAATTCTACGTTTACTAAGCGATTTTGTTATTTTCAATACATTAAGCAATACGATTTGCGTGCATAATTATGTATAGTATGTATATGTAAAGTTATGATAATTTAACTTTATCCAGAAATATTTTACACCGCTGTGAGGAGATCGGTTTTGAGGCAAATATAAGCTGAAACAACTTCAACAAATTTTTAATTCTGCTTAAAGGGCCGGTGCTAGGGGGTTTTGAGGGGTAATTACATTTTCCCAGTGCCGTCCTTTTTTAAAATTTTTAAGTTTTTCCCTTACAATGAAAATTTTTATCTTATTTTTTAAAAAACCCCGGGAAAAAAATTTTTCCCAATTTTACTCCCAATAAAATTACATACCTTTTCGAATTTTTATTTAAAGGGGTTTTAATAAACATCCTTCCGGTTTAAAGCCATTATTTTTTTGGTGCCATTACTTATCATAGAAAAATTTTGTAATCACAGGAGCATTCACTGGAGCATAGTTGGAATTTTGGCAAAAAACCCATTGGTTTGGGCTTTGGGGGCCATTTATAAAAAAAAATCTCCATCTAAAAAAACCTTTCCCCCCGGAAAACCTTTTACAAAGGTTTGGCTCCATTAACTCAACGCTTTAAAAACAAATATGACGTCTTTTAAAAAACCCTACAATACGTCACATATGACGCAGACATCAGCGTTTATGTCCACTACTGTAAGGTAAATGATAGATAAGCATTATATCAGTCTTTTGTAGATGATATAGATGATATATAACATTCAATTTGAAGAGAAAGTTCACTTGATATTAGATCTATATCTGGCTTAGGTAAATACTATAGGTAATACCACTTGTTCTTGCTAACGCTGAACGTTTATCTAGATTAAATACATAGAGGATATTCAAGTTTTGTCTATAAATACATGATTTATTTTCATCGAGTGGTATGAAAATAAATATTTCATGAGTGACGGTAGCCACGAGTGAAATATGGTAATTTTCATGCCACAAGATGAAAATAAATCAGGTATTTATAGAAAAAACTTGAATTTTCTGTTACATTTTTCTCTTTTTTGAAAGACTTTCCCTTAAATTTTGTATACTTGCAGAATTTAAAAGAAAGTAGTCCGGCAAGACACCAGTGAAAATACGGAAAATATGTTTCACTGCAGTGAAAAATAAATTTTTACAGTGAAAAATCAGAAAATGAAAATACGCATTTTATTTCATCAATATTTCTCAATGTATATTATTTGTAAGTATATAATAAAATAATTTATGTTGATAAACCTTCCAATTTTAGTAATAACAATCAATTGAAATTATCACAAATAAATTTCATTATATTGATCTCGTATTAGTGTTTTGATTTTAATGCCGGCCCAGACAAATACCACGATGACAGAATATGTTGTTGTTGTTTTTTTGTGTTGTTTTTTGCTCAATGTTGTTAGTCATATTTCATCTTAAATTATTGGTTTTCAGTACACCTACATCAGATGGGCATTTTCCCCTGTACGACATGTCCTACGCATATTTCGGTTTGTTTGGATTCCTTTTAACAATGGTGATTGGTCTGGTTGTAAGTTTCCTATCAGGTGGGTCTGGTTACGTGTTTTGTGATGTTTTATTACTCATATCTTTTAATTAAACTTTGCTATTTTTATACAAACCAACTTACATGAAATGATTAAAAAATGTTTCATTTTCCTATTTTAAAGTTATATGTGCGAGTATCACTACGCAAATAATTTTATTTTTCACGTTTTTTACCTTTGTAAGATCCGAGCCTTTATTGTAATTCGGTCAATGTGCGTAGTCACTCGTAATTTTGATCTCAGACGTATCAATGTATTTGTAACAGCAAATCTAGACACTAGTTGCAAGGTTATATTTATATTTCTCCAAGTTGCCCTGGATGTAAAGGATATTTATTACAAAAGACTTTGTACAAGTTTTGTAATACACATTGTTTTGAATAGAATTAACCATGCGAATAAGAAAAGCTCGTGTAAGAGTCAATATATTAATATTTTCCTTCCTATTGTATTTTTGTGTTGTTTTTACTCCAGGAAGAAATAAATGCCAGGACATTGAAGCAAAGTATATTTTTCCGTACTTCAGAGATTTCTGGAAATTGGAAAACAAAGAAATACCGTCGTCAATTCCAGGTTCATACACGTTCGAATTCAAGGTCTACTTGTTTTGTTATTATTTCGCCTACTTCCGTATCATTTATCTTATATAAGTTCACTTACTATTTACATTTATTACTTTATCTTTAAGTCAATGATTTTACTTTTGGTTCAGATAATAATATATAGACCGTAAAAGACAAAGCGTCATAAAGTAATTTGGTCTGTAATGGAAGGTATGCTAAGCAAAAAGTAATTTTGAAGTATTTAGCATCAGCCAGGAAAGAATTGTATATGTATGTTGTTGGCAAGTGTGAGATACTTGGTCCGATATTACATATAATTATATAGTATAAGAATCTTACACCGTCTGCCGGTACAAACCGGAATATCTAGCTCGAAGGTAGCTGTTTACGGCGGTAACGAGGATCTTTCGAGTTTCCACGAGAGCTAGATATCCCGGTCTGTTACGACAGCCGATGTTTGATTGTTTGTTTTGTTGGGGTTTTTTTGCTTTGTTTTTTTTTGTGTGCATATAACATATTAATTATATTTCTGAAAGAAATTACGAAAACTAATATTTTAATTTAGCACTTTTTTTTAAAGAAGCGTATGAATAGTAGCGTATGAATTTAAAACTCCATTCTTAGCGGTAAAATGACGTCATTCTAAGAACGCATTTCATTCATAAAAGGCGGGCGGGAATGACGTCATTTGAAGCACGCGACTTTTCTTACATGGAAGTGTAAGACAGGCCTTTTTTAATCGGTTCTAGAACAAATATTGTAACTTAACATATAAATGTTCATACTAAATAACCTAACACTTTATCAACATTTTTTTTAATTAATATTTTCAGAATATCCAAATGGCACATTTGGATTGTTTTTATCGATACTTTAAATACTTTTGGAAAATGTGCATATTAAAAACCAATCCACTTAAAGTTAAAAAAATATTCGAATGGATAAATTTTACAGGGGTATTCATATGTTTAATGTACAAATGTACTTCTGAATTTTCAGGAAAATGGAAAGCAACAAGACGACGGCGATTTAAAGGCTGAGCTTGAAAAGTTAAATACAATTGAGATTGAAGTGAAGAAAGAACACTCTCCTTAATCTCTCATTTGTTTCTTACTCTGTTTTGACATTTTAATACAAGTTGCATTTTTTATCAATTCTTGGTCGACTCAAATTTTAAAATAAATTTTCAAGTCTCAGACGGTGTAGTATAAGCGTTGCAATGAAGTTTAATAACATAACTTTGCTCCTTCTTGAAAATGATGTCATTTTTGCAACACAAGGTGTACGTACTTTCAATGCCTATAAAATAAGCTGTTTATTTGCATATGACGCCATGATTGTTACTAAATATCATGCAATGGTATTATATGATGCAAACATAAAAAAATGAGAGTTCGCAATAAAACTTCAATTTTTAGCAGCTTTTTATTGGAACTTTCATATGTGTCATCATTCGGTGCAATGGTTATTGTTGACAGTGTTTACAAAAATAATTATATTTATTTTTTTAATAAGAGAAATTCATTTAGGAAATTAAGATATTTCGGAATAAGACTGCCTCACAAATTTCCTGATGAAATTAAACTATGTATACCTCACCGTACAATCAAATGGGCAGACAGCAGTTCAAGCGTCGACAGGTGTACCGGTATATACATGTCGGCACAGGAAACACAATTGACGGACAATGAGTATTCATCTATAGTTAACATATCCCAATTGTGTTCGAGTAAACCAATGTTATGGATTCATAGTCAACTTCCAAAGGAGCATGCTAACAAATTTCTGGCCCTATGCAAGCCTTACTTCACGTGAATTTTGACTGAAAATAACCACACTATCCGATAAGATGCGGCATTTTTAGTTTTTAAGTCACAAAAAGTTATATTTTCTCATGATAATAAATCCTTTTATCATACGATTCGTAAACGTCAACATTTTGTCAAAAAATATTCCAAACCATACCTTCAAAAATGCTTTACTGTTAAAGTTATAGGGTATTTAAGTGTGAGTGTCATCAAAATTTAAGTAACGTCATCAGCCGTTCGCCTCTTTTTAATGATAACATCGACAGCCATTTATCGGCAAGAATGAATAACGCTAAAAGCCGTTCAAGGAAACAATTTTCAGCGCTTTTATGCTACAGTAACTAGGAAAGAGTAAAACATTTTTGTTCATTTAAAATATTAATTTATTCATGATACTTTCTAATAGGCGTCATACTTACGAAATCCATCTACTCCTCAATAATTTCTAAATTTTCCACCATAATAAATGATTTATTTTACAGCATGTAAATTATTTTAAAGTATGAGTATTAGTTAGTAAGTCAGTCAGGTAGTTAATTAGTGTTTCTGAAATGTTAAATTCAAATTAGGTAAAGGGAAATTTAACGCTTAATACGAATATCCAGTCTTATAAATAAAGGCATCCATCAACGACATATTTTTCAGTATTCAATATATATATGTATGTATGTATGTATGTATGTATGTATGTGTGTGTGTGTGTGTGTGTGTGTGCGTGTGTGCGTGCGTGCGTGCGTATGTTTGTAACTAAGTAAGTAACTAACTAACTAATAATCATACTTTAAATTAATTCACATGGACATAACGACTTGAGTGACATAAATAGAAATTGCACATTACATATTACCCACTATAGGACTCGCCTAAAAGAATATTGTCTACAGTAGGACTCGCAACAGAGTATCGTTGTTATTCAGGTTTTTGGCAGGATCTATGCAAACATGAACAAGTATCATGAACACTTCACAATACAGAAAATCCGCACTTCCTTTTTTGTGTGTGTGTGGGGGGGGGGGAGGTACGTCGCTCCAACACAGAATAGGTCATATGACGATGATTTTACAGCCCAACGTTCCGTTAGCTTACTGGATAGCTTCCTCACATAATAGAACAATAAATACCTGTAGGGATACAAATAGACAGCGGTGAAGGGCAAGTGGTTTAAAGGTTTATTTTACGAACACGTACATATTTTAGTAATTAAAAAGCATTCAACACTTAACTTTAGAAAATGACGGTCGTTGAAAACGAAACTGTTGCACGGATTTTAAGCCCACATCAGATGTAAGTACTCGGCATTGCAGGCCCCCATAGTTTCCTTTAAAGATGATTGTATGTAGCAATATGAATTAACATCGTTAACTAACTAGCATAAAGTATTAAGCTAATTATAACATTATTATTCATTGTCAGTTATCAAAAGTGAAGCACGGTTATCTTTATGCGCATACACGAAACATTTTAGTCTTTGTCTATCTAAGGTGAATAGTTATATATTAACATAACAGTATACTTCGGATAGGAGGTTACTTAATAATACATGTTGATTGACTAAAAAACACGACATCGGGCTTTACAATATGCTTTTACGAAAGCATTATAAATCTTAATTGTTTCTGTTTATTATTGACAGTTTAAAGCAATTGAAGTTATAAGTGAGAAGATAATTTAACATAATGGAGGGTGTTGTTCAGTTTCACATTGCTGATTACGTAGTATTGGCATTATTCCTGTTGATTTCGTCCGCCATCGGATTATATTACGGGATATGCAAGAGACAGAAAACAACTGAAGAGTATCTTCTTGGTGGTCGGAAGATGCATCTACTTCCGGTGGCTATTTCATTAATGGTGACGTATCAATCGGCCATTTCCGTTATGGGGGTACCGACGGAGGTCTACATTTATGATACAATGAATTTGTATTCATTTGTGGCTATTATGCTGACGAACGTATTTCAGGCGTTTGTGCTGGTTCCCTTGTTGCATCCACTTAAACTAACCAGCGCGTATGAGGTTTGTTTTTATTCAGTATATCTAATGTAGTATGCTCATCTTTGAGTAGAATAGTTTAATCACAGAAAGTTACTGAAATCTAGGAAATCCTATCTTAATATGTTTAATTTGAACAAAAAAATCATGAAACTATACATTGGAAGCTGTGTTCCCTATTACGGATCAAGTGAAGTTAGTCTTTTCTTTTAAAAACAAAACTGCCAGTTGTTTTATATAACACTTTATATTCATATTGTGTGTGGAATTTCTAACATAACATGTCTAGCAATTAACAATATTTTCTAATATCATATTTGAGCATAGTATATCTTTAATACATCTTCTCTGCAAACTTCGTATTCAAAATTTCAATTCTAGATCAAACAACATTTAAATTTTACTTTGAACATGTTGTCGATTGTGAAAAGACCTTGTAGTAATAAGTAACTGCCAATAACCACATTTGTTTTCAAACATATTCATAGTACATTATTTGAAAGATTTACAATGAATCATTTTATTCTTGTTTCAGTATTTGGGTAGACGTTTCAACTCAAGAGCAGTCCAGTTACTGGGAACATACATGGGAATGCTACAAACGGTGAATCAATTTTTGATATAGGCACTATAATATAGACTAGAAATATACCAACAAAAGTAAATTACACGACATTTTTACAAAATGTAATGTAACCAAAAGACGATTTAAAACAAAAATCTTATTTAATTTACATAGTTTATAAATGAGACAACTCTGTACAGTTACAGTAAACATAGAGTTCTATGTCAAGAATCAAAGGCACATTATAACTTTCAATTAATGATTTAAGATATAAATAATTTCAAATGTAATGAAGGTAGCAACATGTTTTTGACTTTCGTACAAAATACTATACAATGTATTACTATTACTGTAATAATAGCTAAAAATACAACAGAAGTAAAAGATAGCCGAGCTGTATGGTTTATGAGTAACTTTTAGAAACTGCCACAGAATATCAAAATAAATATGTTTTTTGAATGAAAATTATACGATTTTTAGGTTGGAATTTCGGCCTATAAACTTAAATATATCGATCATGATTAATTTTATAACAAATTAATTCATAAAATCAAAATAATCTTTAAAATGTAAGTTTCGTGTCTAGAATATCAAGTTATAATATGCTTTTATTGGGGGATTTATCGGATCATTTTAATGTAGAATAAACGCAATGTTCATCCAAAGATTTCTTTTTTCAGTTGCTGTACATGGCCATTGTGCTGCTAGCCCCGGCTCTTGCTTTAGAAGCAGGTTAAATTTTGTTTAACTTTATTTCAAAATATGCTATATTAATAATGAGGTAACACATTTGTCAATCAGACATTGATATTTATCTTATCGGTAACATATTTGTCTAAATAATGTGACAAATGTTATATATTATAGTAAGGAACATATGATGCTTATAATAATAGATCATAAAAAGTTGAATTCCATGATATCCATTAATCAAAAGCACGACATAAATAACAGTTAATTATACATTTAGTAGTGAACGTTTCAAAGACGGTATGCCATAATGCAAAGTATGCAAGAAATTAACAAATTTATTTCCGTCGCACGACTTATTTTTTTTTAAAATCATTAGATATTGTGACATACGCATAAGTATTATGCTCATATTTGTTTCCAGTGGCAAATATACCTTTATGGCTCTCAATCATTGCTGTCGGAGTTCTTGGAACAGTTTATACATCAATAGTAAGATGATATCTTTTTTAATTACATGCACGCAATACTTGCACATATAGTTTATATCGATGTAAAGCATACCCTCGTAAACACAAATTCAACCGAAATGTTCAATATTGTTTTTCATGCTTTTCTCAAACATTTTTACAAATGTGTGTAACTGGTACATTTAACTTTAAGAATGGAAACATTTTAATGGCTTCTCGCGCTATTTAACACATTTATAATTAATTATGTTTGTATTTTCGGACAGGGCGGTATTCGGACAGTGATCTGGACAGATGTTTTTCAATTTATAATATTATTTGGAGGACTGATAGTTATAATTGTCATGGTAATAAAAATATCATTTAATTATTGTTTGACAAAATACACTTCGTTGTTGAATAATTAATGATTGTTATAATTTAAATTAAGTGAAGTAAAGCTTGTATCAATTCTACATTACATTTGTACATTATCATTATCAATTTACGTTTATTATTATTATTATTATTACTACTACTATTATTATTATTATTATTATTATTATTATTATTATTATTATTATTATCATTATCATTATTATTATTATTATTATTATTATTATTATTATTATTTATCTTGAATCTCAACCGGAACTTTCGTGTTTAGCGAACGTTAACACTGCTGTATGTATAACATAAAGAAACTTGTATATAAAGTTTCTTATTTCAGGGTACAATAAACGTTGGTGGTCTGGCAAAAATATATGAAGTTACAAGGGAAGGGTCAAGGCTGAATCTAAGCACGTATGTTACATATTTACTAGAAAGCGTAGTTACTTATTTACATCATTTCTACTGTATGTTTCAGATTAAGTGCATGTTAACAACTTACGTTAAGACATGGGCCGGAAGATTGTTAACCTTGACAAGGCTTCTTGACTTTGCGCCAATGCCTAGCTAATTCATACCAACTTTAACATCTTCAGAACAGAAGAACAAATGTTCTGCTTAAATAGTTTCATTCACAATATTTCATGAATGTTTGTTTTCTTTTTCCAGTTTTCGAAATCTATGCTGAAATCATTTATAAGAGTTCAAGTATATGAATTAATTACTTTTTCCGTTAAACAAACTATGCACAGTTTCCAAGATGTACAATTTCCAAGATGTACATATTTAACTTTAACTTAAATAATTTCGTATTTTTAATGTTTTCTATATTCTCATAAATAAAATGCCATAATATCATCAATGTGATAATAAAGTTATGTATGCACTATGTTAATCTTGTATATATGCTGCTGTTATGTCATTATAAGCCTTACTTGATAACAAAAATACATGTCTGTCATAAATATGAATATGTATGCATCATCATGCAATGTAATTTTCTATTATGTAAATATTCATGAACCAGGATTGAACAATTACAATTTTGCAGAACAAGTGTAGATCCGCGTGTACGTCATACCGTGTGGGGATTTCTCACAGCCGGATTTGTAAATTGGCTTCCAAACTGTTGCAATCAATCAGCCGTGCAACGAATATCTTCAATGCGCACTGTTCGAGACGCTAAAATGTAAATATTTCACTATGCATTTTTTTTTCTAAAACATGGATGGAGATACTCAAATAATGTAATAGTACAATTAATAGAAATTTCCCAAAAAATTGATAAACCTACGCAAAAATCTAGACTCATTAAACGAAAGGCTGAGTTTTGAAGAAAAGCATTTAATTATGCTGATAATAAAACACACAAAACTTAATTTGTTTAGATATGTACAAAATTGTTATCTGTTAACCGAACATTTAAAAAATAAAATTGAAAAGAAAGTGCAAACCAATTTTCATGCAAATTTTTCAAATTTAAAGTCCAAAGTACTTCTTAATTTCCACTGCTTTTATTCATGTACATGTATAATGTATTCATTTAAATTTAATTATACTGCACTTATTGACCCGGATAAATAGAAAGCGAAGATAATGATAGCGAAGTATTGTGTGCCTGCAAATTATTTTCATTTTTCTAGGATTCATATATTATGACGACAGGGAACGTTGTAGTAGTTGTTGTTTTGGGGGATGGGGTATGGGGGAGGGTTTTTTTGACTATGACACAAATAGAAAGAACATGAAACCTTTTTACGTGCTATTCATTTAAATCATATATATTGTATTTATTTTCTTACAGTTCGACATTTTTGAATGTTCCAGCAATATTTATATACGGTATCATACTGATTTTCTTTGGATTATTACTGTACACACATTATTCAATACAACAGTGTGATCCATGGTCAGCCGAGTATATCAGCAATGCCAATCAGGTGCGTCTGATTTTGTCCATATGTAAAGCCGCAACGAACGCATACTGGCTAATTTGAAACAGTTTAAGTGTGTAAAATGTAAATAATTAAATTAAAAGGATTAAAATAAGTGTTGTTTTATCCAAGAAAATATATAAATTATTAAATAATTTAAAAAAAAAACACACAAACAAACAAGCATAAAAACATATTTTTGTTCTATCTTATCCAAACAACACGGACACATTCAATAATTTTGTATCTTTTAAACTTGTAAAGATATACCTTGAACGACTAATATATCTATGTGAACATTTTTAAAGACATTCTTATTTTATTTCAGTTGATCCCATATTACGTTATGAACGTTTTTCGCGACATTCCTGGGATGACTGGTTTATTTATAGCCGCATTATTCAGTGGAGCTTTAAGGTTCGTATTGACTTATTATATGTACATTTCATGGAAAAAAAGAACGGAATGACATATTAATTGGAAAATCATTCGCAATTATAAGTCTCTTGTCCATTGATGAAATGATTCACAAAATGGCTGTTCCGATGAAACCATATTTGTACTACAGTATTATCTAATCAAGCCAGTAAGTTTGAATACAGCTATATTCTAAGATTTCATATATTATACTATTTTCATTGAGTTATTGTAACATCAAAGGGCATTTATAAGCTTTCTTAGCTTCCTATGCAATCCTTACAAGTTGTAAATTACTGAATTCATGTTATGTAAAGTATATAATTAAAATATATGGTGGCTAATTTTTGCCATGTCGTATTTTTGCTCCGTGGGACCCCAGTGAAAAAACACGAAATCACGACAAAATAATTAATTTGTCGTTCCGTCATTCTTCGGGACGCCAGTGAAAAAACGAACTACTTTGTAGTGCGTTCATATGGCTTCTGCGGAGCGAAAATACAACATGCCACAAATAAGCCACCATAAAATAAGTTTCAACTTATAAAAAGTTGTTGTATATCTTATGTTTTGCAAGAATATACTTCTTACGTGATCTGTTGCTATGACAACGACACTTCTAATAGGAAAATTTTACAATTTTTGTTTTGTTTTAAATTAACGCAAGTACGTTTCTACGGTATTATTTATATATTTGTCGGTGTAACTGAAACTTATATTATGACAAGGAGATGAATACGCACGAAATTTATATTAACTTTCAGTACGCTGTCGTCTGGAATAAATGCAATGTCTGCAAATACTTTACAAGATATTTTGGTAAATGTATTAGAAAATGCGTCTGAATTTATGAAAACATTAATCGCAAAGCTTGTAGGTAAGTTTGCTTTTTTGCAAATAGCTTTTTTCATATATATAAATATTCGTTATAGGTGCTATAAGTACTAGTGCGGGGTATGTTTTCACTTACTATAATTATACATGTATAGTGTTGAGTAATATCCAATAAAATTCTTTCTGATAAGTAACATATTATTCCCAACGTAAACTGTAACTGATATTATCTGTAATTGAAATATATATCAACTGTTTTTGTTAATAAACTTATTTATTGTTGACATATGTGCATATATTTAGAATGGCATTAAATACTTGACACATGTGTTATCAGTTTGGATCATTAAATGTACGTAAATTATATATAAATCATTGATAGAAATAGAATACTATCAAGTCATAGATAGAACATAACCGAAAATTTTGTTTACTTTCTCATATTTTTAAATATTTTTATTCAGTTCTGTTGTACGGTATATTAGCTGTTGGACTTGCCTACATGGCTAGGACACTGTCAGGCCCTGTAACACAGGTAGTTTGAATTGTGTTTATATTATATTAGAAATTTAAATGTAATTGAAGAATATGCATGTAACATTCGTAATACATCATTTCGATTTTTGAAAGTAGATTGAAATAATTCCATAATAAACATATAATCTAGTGTGTAATACATTATTGTATGCTCATTCTATCAAACACTTTTTTTCACAATAGTTTTCGAGTAAATTTGAAACTTATATCTTATTAAACAAATTGTTAAAAGGTGCATGTCTGATACATCATACAGTTATGTCCCATAAAATAGTTATTTCTGGTATTCTAATAAGAATCAGTAATTCAGGTTATTGCCCATATATTGGTTACTTATAATTAACATAAGTTATATACAGAGGCTTTGTTGTCTATAAAATAGGTGCTTTAAGTTTAAATTTATTTAACGTTGGTCGATATCACTTGTGTAAATAGTGTCGATTATTCTTTTGAATGAATATAACAAAGATGTTGTATCATAGTTTGGGGACCTTTGTGTTAGAAATGTGTCCGAGTTAAATCGTATACATTTACATGCACCGTGCGTTATTTGGAGTGCAGGTATTAGTTACCCGCACTCCAGAGCATGCCCAATGATTGGCTCTTTTTTGCTGGGGTTTACTTATTGTGACGGCAGAGAAAGGGAAAGCGACAGAAATGTCATATTTAGATGCTCGTTAATTGGTTACTTTTCTGTGGGGTTTCATATTGTGACAACAGGGAACGTGTTTTTATGTTTGACTATGATACAAAAGAGAAAGAACATCAAAACACTCGTACAAACGACCCTCGTACAAATCAGAATCAGATAGCCTCGTGTTTCGATGCTCTTTCTATTACTTAATGGACCGTCACTCTTTAATGAAGGCTTTTGTAATATAGAATTTTGATAGATTTCTATGGTAACAGATTTATGTAAAGGTTGAAACTATGCTTTTGATTAATCATTAAGGCGCTTATTAAACGGGAAAGAATTCAATGACAAGTTGTTGCAGATTGTACCACATAATTAAAAGCTGGAACGATCTCATTGGACAAAATACAGTTTCAAGCTAATAAATGTGATTAAGCATCAAGACTTATTCAGTTATAATTTAGCAATGGTTGTTGATATATTTTTTTTCGATATGTTCTTCTAATAAAGTGTAACACAAACTTAATTTAAATGTATAGATAAGTATATACTTACTTTGGTTTACATGAAATTTAAATTGAAAAATAAAACTAAACGTGTGGGTTATTGAAATAAAACTTTCTTCTACGTTTACGTTTAATATATTTTACATTTTAAATTGTAGATTTCATGGACAGCAATGGGTGCAACAGGTGGGCCTATTGTCGGTGTAATGTTTCTGGGAGCAACATTTCCTCAAGCAAACTGGATTGTACGACATACTTTAAATAACCTTAAACATCAAAACTAAATGCATAGGTTTTAAAATATCTAATGAAAAACTGAATAGCCCTTTTCTACGTTGTCCCGTTAGGGACATCTTACTAGCGCCTTTTAGACGACACTACGATAACGACATTAAGCGCCATTACAATGATAAAGATGGGACAATGTAACATTACCAACACGTTTTTGCACCGTCCCATTGTGATGTTGCATTGTGTTTTCGCAATTTGCATCATGTTATCGGAGTGTCGCCTATAGGACCAGAACGAAACTTCGATACCTTGATGTGAACTCGAGACAAATAGTTGAGTGACTAAGTTTTCATTTTCACATCTACGTAGTCATTTTATTATGTTCGTTCGTGCATATTTTTAACAAAGCAGTTATACATGAATATCTTCTCTGATTTTAAAAATCTTGTAAAATGAAGGTTTAAAAGAAAAGGAAATGAAGTGCACAAATGAAGTGGTGGAGATCTTTGACTTTGACCAAATTGCATTTTTGAATGTTTCAAGTTAGGCTTGGTATAAAAGATACTTGACTGTCGCTGTGAATTTTGAATAATCTGGCCAAGATAAAACCCTCGTGTCGAAAATGTCATGAATTATCTGCTTTATCTGTGTTTAACTAACAGAAATTAAATGCCTTACTATATCAAATATATTTTAACAAAATAATAAGAAATATTCATTTATAATTTTTTTATCCTGTATTAAAAGGGGGCGTTTTCCGGAGGTATAGCAGGGATAGCAATGGCAATGTGGCTAGCATTGTGTCATCTTATGTATGGCATTAAACCTCCGGTATCGAGAAGAATACCAACGACTGGGTGTATACCTTACAGTTCATGGGAGACAAACAGTACAAATACAACTTCTGCAGGGATGACTACAGTTATTCTTCAAACGACAGAAACATTCGCTAATGAAACCAAGTACATATATTCTTTAGCGATTTCTAATAATTACTGTCGAAATACTTTCTGTAATCTAATTCCTTTTAATTTTAGATACAAGCATAAATTTATTTTTGATTTCTTTTGTGTTTACTGCTCCAATTTCAATGAATAATTCTTTTATCATGTTAGCTAAGCGTTTATCTTATCTAGTTTTGTAGATTTATCTTCCGAAAAATAAATCTAGTTGCACGTATATTTCAAATTTGACCTTTGCTATTGGTTAAAAAAGCAGGACAAAAATGACACCACTTTCGTAAAAAGACTTACCAATATCATAATCTGAACTGTAACCTTTTTCGTTTTTCCAGTGTAGCAGACGACGATCATCTAGTATTTTATGATATTTCATATCTTTATGTTGGTATACTCGGATTTCTTGTGGCATTCATAACTGGCTTAATTATCAGTTTGTTTACCGGTACGTCTTCGTATAATATCCTGCTTATAAGCATCTAATTTCGATTGCTTATTTCTCCAATATATTTCCTTACTTCAGGCTCCAACATTACCTTTTCTAAATTGCTGACCCTTATGGCCATTTTCAAGTTAACTGTTCAGGTTCGAAAATTTAGACACAAGATTTACTATAAACGTAATTATTTAAATGATATCAATTGGAACTTGCAAAAGTCAAAATGACTGCTGTTGACAAATCACAGTCGTAATCTCTAAAAATCAGAATATTCTGGGTTTCCCAACTAATTAATCCAGCGGTACAAAATAAGCGCAAACTATTACGATAACTATTGCAAAATATAAGTAATGAAGACAAAATGTATAAAGTTGATGCTATCCTTAATTAACTCGAAAAATGGTGGTTTATTGTTTATCTTATCCGGAAATGCAAACAAACCTTCATTGCATTACCTTTGACCATAGAGCAGTACAACGAATTGTAGCTATAAATTTGTACCCCCTTAATATCAAAATATAATAACTGGGGTAACCTTATGTTTGTGCAAAATTCCATATACCAATAGACACGTACTTATATAGTAGCAGCTTCACTTTTAATAAGAGTATAAAGTTCGAAGAGTACAATGTTAAATAACTTATAAATAGTTACCACCACACTGAATGGCATTATATAATTTCCCATTTCTTTAACGTTTTTAACTTAACGAGAAAATTATAGAAGTTGTATAGTCTTGATTGCAAATACAGTTCTAGTACTGGTTTGTTCCGGGAAGCGGACTCGTGCGAGATATAAATATGTTTCTACTTTCCATTACAATCGCACTTAAATGAATATATTGACATCAATTTTCCTGATGATGTAATTAAAGCAAATATTTATTGCAATATGATATGATATTAGGTATGGACCGCGATGAACCGACCGAGGCAGAGTATATATTCCCTGGTTTACGATCATTTTGGAAGAAAGGCTACACAGTCGTTAGAAAGCCACGGACTTACACAGCTATAAAAACGGTATCAAACGTTTTTCCTTTCATTGATAATTTCATAATTCCATACCTTATAGTGGATACGAATCAGGATATTCGGTAGTTAAATCTAGATATTATAAAAACAGGATCCATAAGTTATCAAGATAACGGACTTCATTCCTTTTTCAGTTTGTTGACATTAATTTAGACAAATCAGCATCATCAACATCAGTATTATTTTTATCATTATGAATATATTATAGATATTATTATACCTATTACTATTTATCATCATTTTCAATATATTTTATTCATTTAAATCTAATTCTTTATGTTTTACAGAAATTAAAGAAGATGGAAAGCTTTGGTTTACCAGCCTATGTAGCACCGATCAAATCTTTAGACCATAACTGGTATAACAAACACCCGGATGATGAACTGTGAATGACATTTTTCTAACACGTGTAACGTTTCAGCCTTGGCTGAATAACATTAAAATAAGATATTAGATATTTCTATTACTATTCTTTTGGTTTTTATTAATAAACAATTGCACCATTGACTTTATTTCAGTACACGAATTATGTGATTGTTAATGTATCTGTTGTTTTTTTACTTTAGTTTAATTTTTTTTTCTTACAAACAAATTATAGAATGCAATTTCCTTGTACGTACACTTTAAGTGTGTACTTATGCGTGACTATATTAAAATAATTATATAGATTGAGCAATGTAATGTGTCCTATTTTCTGCTCAGCGGGCACTAATATGCGACGAGGTGACGAATTTGTCGTGCGCTCCTCGAGGTGCCAGGCGAAAACACGAGGAATAGACAGTGGTGACGTTGTCGCATTTTCGTGCTTTCGCCTGACGCCCCTAGGGCAGGCATACGATAATGTAATACTTTGTCGCATTTCGTAATTTCGTCTGGTATCCCAAAGCGAAAACAAGAAAATGTGATAAGTCATATTTCCGTGTTTTTGTCTTTCTCCCCGCTGAGCAAAAATACCAAATAAGGAATATTCTAATGGGGCTTACTGAAAATGTTTCCTCAGTGCATTCCCACGGATTCTACGCCCCCCCCCCCTATCATTAAAAAAAAGGTATTAGGGGTTTTATGCGGGCAGCCAGTATCATATGTAACGATTGAATCTTTTAGAAAGTGGCATTTTTTGTTTTTTACTTTGAAATTTCTATTCTGGATATTGTATTAGTGCTTTGTTCATATATTTCTTTTGATTAAATAATCTCACTACAATGCACAACGAAGTTGTTTGTTTGTTTGTTTGTTTGTTTGTTTGCTTGCTTGCTTGCTTGTTTGTTTGTTTGTTTGTTTGTTTGTTTGTGAGATTTATCGGAAAATGTTAAATGTGATAAAGGATATTGTCAACCCGAGAATTGGTCATATTTCATTCACGGGCTGACAATATTCGTATCACTATGGCGGCTGATTTGTGCTATTCATGTTTTCGCCCCGCGACCCCGCCAAGCGAAAAGTCGAAAATCAACAAGATACAATGGCGGGGGCGCGGAACGAAAATACGCTTATAAGCAAGGGCGCGGGGCGAAGTTTAATAACTGAAACTTCGCCCCGCATAGGAGCGGAGCGTGATTTAAGAAATAAAACGGCGGAATGCGGGGCGAGACGCTAATTACCGTGTTTTCACTCCGTGCCCCCGCCATTTTAACTTGATAATAATTATTCTCGACTTTTCGCTTGGCGGGGTCGCAAGACGAAAACACGTTTATTAGCCCCGCGCCTCCGCTAATTAGTGTGTTTTCAACCCGCGACCCTGCCGTTTTATTTCTTAAATCTCGCTCCGCTCCCTCACGGGGCGAAGTTTAATGAATAAAACTTCGCCCTCGCTAAGTAGCTTGTTTTAGCTCCACGCCCCCGGCATTTTAAACTTGTTAATTCTCTACTTTTTGCTTGGCGGGATCGCGGGACGAAAATACGAATGGCACAAATCAACCACCCTATATCACCGCAACAGCATATGTTTTTAATCTTATTAAAACGAGCACCTTATAACTACAATTATATATAATACTTACACACAGTAAAACGAAAAACTTGCAAACCTTGTATCCACATATGTAACTAAATTTTAAAATAAATGTACTTACACCATCAAAAAGGTACTAGCAAACCTGTCACAAAATGGTGAAAAACTGAAATATAGAGACTATTCCCTGAATGGTATTTTCGCCCTAGTACATTTTTGTACTACTTAACTCTCCGGGACTGATTATTCTATTTCATTAAATTGTAAGCGTTTATTTATAGATCTACTTGAAGGCACAAGACAGGCCCTGGCAAATCATCCTAAATTCCAGGGCTGACTCGTTGTCCTGTCGTGACTAACTCTAGGTGGGTGGTTCTGCAAAGCGCCGTTGTAAAGAAACGGATGCCTTTGAAGTATAGTCGAACTCAATTTCCACAAAAGAACGAAGAATAGAACTTAGACTTGAAGAAGACGTCCCCGATTTGGCTACAAACAGCGGACCGCCAAGGACGCCGTTGGACTCGGACATATGTTTTCTCCAATGCCGAGCATAAATGAAAGAAACAAAAAACAATACCATTTTCATTTAAGATCCGTTATTCGTAGGATCATGTAAGAAAACAAAAGCACTGAAACTAGCGACTCGTATTTATTACTAGTATTTTAATAGCAGCGAGCACATGTTGTTTTCCTCATTATGTAAAATTTACATTAATTTAATGTAGGAACACATCATAAACCATGAAAAGTTCAGAAGGGCATGCTTTCAGAAAATCAAGCAACGCTCTACGATTAATTGCATTTAATGTTGTTTTTAATAAACTTAAGGCAAAAACAGTGACTTCGATGAATTACAATAAAGATGTTTTGCGGTGAACAGAAAAAACTTAAGATTAAAGTTTTATGTCCATGCATTTAATAACAGTTACTCCATTGTGTCCTTTATCTACATGTACTCAGCAAAGACCTACATTTTGATTCTGACATACATACGAGAGTTGTTTTATACATAATTAATGCAATTTTACAAAATGACAAAGGAAAAACGAAGCATTATAAACTGCTAACCGTTTTTCGAATAAGATATGCTGAGCGTGTCACTGTTGCTGAAACATGTTTTCCATAGAGTTCCATGTGAGCAGGTTTGCAAAGGTTTTGTTAAGAAATAGACAACTCTACTATCTTGGAGGCCAGTTGGCGTCTGTTGCCGAATGGTTAAGTTATTTGATTTCAATTCACTTGCCCCTCGCAGCTGTTATCTCAAACCCCACATGGGACTTTGAATATTTCATGTTGGGAAACAATCCACCGAGCATGCGGAACGTCGGTGGTGCCCACTTGTGCCTGAAATAATGCACGGAAGAATTCCTCCACCAGTAATGCTGGATAAAACAATGACCTATACTGTGTTAGTGTGACGAAATTTATATATACTCGGTTTTATAGTTCTTCACATGAAAGAACAAAAGTCCCTGTCGGGATTGAACCCACAGCGGTGTATAGCAAATAGTTTGAAGTCAACAAACTTAACCACAGATCCTCTATATGTAAGTAATAAGAGTTTCAAGAGTTTATTTCAAGATACATTTGGGCAATATGCCCATGCATACACGGTTCATATAACAAAGCATACAATACAATCAATTGGTCAATGTCACTACTTTATAAAACATATATCATTAAGTTACACAGTATTTTTAGCAATCAGAAAACGTTAACTAAAATATAATATACTATCACTTAATGTAGGTTATTTGTATTGTTTTGTAAAAAAGACAAAAACAGGTTTAATTATGCGTCTTCACGAAACGTTTTAGCCTCTGTGCAGCCAATGTGAAGATTTTAATTAAATGAATTTCGGATGAGAATTCATTCTGGTGAAAGACCGCAACATCGATTTAAACAAAAATGCTTTTATGAAAGCATTAAAAAACTGTTAAATTTTGTTTTTAACATTTAGAATTATTAAAAGATATATAAAGAGGCTGTGTTTGGTAAAATGGAAGGTGTTCTTAAGTTTTTTTGTGAACCACTTATTTCATCCACCGAAAAATATGTTTGATTCTTTCAAATAAAATAAAATATTAGATAAAGTTTATAATTATGTTTTAAAAGTTGTTGTTGACATGACATGCATCATTTCTTCAAGTCGCCATTTCGAGGGTTATTCCAAAGTAATTTGTGCTTAAAAGCGTTTGCTTTTGTTTTCATATTGACAAATGGGTAGAATTTATTCATACTTAACATGATCTTAGAATATAAAAAAAACCGGTATAGAATAAGAGAAAGAAATGGAAGTTACGGAGCTCGTGTTCAAGTTTTTTACCATTGAATTTAAATGTTTGCTTTTTTAGAAAATTTCAAGGGAAGATAATCTTTACATTAGTCTGACAAATATTAAGTTTACTAACGGTATCTTCATTTCATTTAATCTTTGAACACAGATCTAAATTTCATGGAATATCATTAAACACTTTTGTTCCTTATTTGTTCTGCTTAATGAATAAAAGTACTGACAATTCACTACAACTTGATAACTTTTGAACAATTGGCAAAGTTTAAGGCTTAGAATAAAAAAAACAATCGTTTACTCTAAGGAAGTCAGTTGCATGCTAACCTTAATGTATCTTGAAGTTTGCAAAGATTTTGTTGTACAGTTTTCATCGTCCATAAATATATGGAAATGAAGCGAACTACTTTAAGATAAAGCAAAAAATAATGTAAAAGAACTCACCAATTCACTTAAATCATCATTAAATTTACTTTATATCTGCATATTACGTAAATTATATATATTGAAAAATGGCCTCCAAAATGGCTGCCACTTTTGACAAGGGAGGTAAATATTGTAACAACTTATTTGTTTAAGTGGCAAATATTCCCTTATGGATGTCAATCATCGTTGTTGGAGTTCTTGGAACAATTTATACGTCAATAGTAAGATGATCTCTTTTTAAATTTAATATACGTAATCTGACATATGCTTGCTTGCATAGTTTATTCCAATGAAGGCGGTAAATAAACCTAAAAAACAAATTTTATTTAATTAATGTACTTTAGCTTTTGCGTCTTATAATAATTGTAATTAAAGATTTCTAATCTTATATTTATTTTAACGAAGTAGTAGTTATTTGTGAATATTTTAAATTTATATTTGGCCATGTTGCACTTGAAGATGTATTTGTATCATTAAGTTATGCATAATTATGTTTGTGTTTTCGGACAGGGTGGTATTAGGACAGTGATATGGACTGATGTTTTTCAGTTTATCATATTATTTGGAGGACTGATAGTTATAATTGTCATGGTAATAAAAATGTCTTTAAACAGTATCTCGCACTTTTTAAAGATTGCATAACCTTTCTATTAACGTTAATAATTATTATGTCATATATTTATTAAAGTAAATTTTACATAAGACTTTAATTCTATCAAATATAAACGTTAATTACCTGCAGAAGCTCAATATCAGAACAATATTGTGAACTCTGCAAAACTAAAATTGTTTTTACTTCAGGGTACAATAAATGTGGGTGGTCTAGCAAAAATATATGAAGTTACCAGAGACGGGTCAAGGCTGAATTTTAGCACGTATGTAACATATTGGCTAGAAAAGAGTACCAGTATGAAATAAGAGGAAATAAAATCTTGAAAACGTTGAAAAGCAGCAAAATTAAAAGTGTTGCAAGTTTGATTGAGCCTGTTCACATATGGTTTTGACAAATGCAAGCTGCTAATTATGCCCCTAGCACCTCATTCCTCATAAACCTCATTCCTATTGTATGCATGTTAACAACTAATATTAAGGCATGTCTCGGGAAGCTGTGAGCCGTAACAAGGTCTATTATTATGCGACATTTCATACCTATTAAATACCCATCTTTTTATCAAACGCGATTCCAAGGTCAAAAGTTAGAAAAATGTATAGCTTTATTCAAAGTAATTCGATTCCCTTGCTGTTCTGCTTTCTTGTTTTTATAGATTATTTACCAGATTTGATTTTAATCTATAATGTTAATACAATCGTTTGACCTTTTTGAGGTCATAATACAAAAATGTAGATTTTTCCATACAAATTTATATCTTTGTCGCCCTCTCTAACCATAAATACATGACCAATAGATATTAACATTTAATCAGATCTTAATCATTGGGTATTTTTTACACAATTATTTTTACTGTAAATTTCAGAACAAGTGTAGATCCTCGTGTACGTCATACTGTGTGGGGATTTCTCACAGCAGGATTTGTAAATTGGCTTCCAAACTGTTGCAATCAATCAGCCGTGCAACGAATTTCTTCGATGCGGACTGTTCGAGACACTAAAATGTAAGCATCTTACTATACATTGCTTTCTTGAAATTTGAAAACAATAATGATACCTTCAAAAGATATAGAATCTTCGTCGGATACAATATAATTATGTTGATTGTGCCATGTAGCAGTATTTTACGAAGTATGTTTACATATGGCTTACTGAACAAAGGCCTTGATATAAGAGCTGAACATATGCAACTTTCTTACATTTTAATCTAAGATTTTAAAATATTGAGAGTTTTTATTAACAATATAATGCTTATTTAGAACACCGTCAATAAATTTAAAATTTAAATTACAATTTTATATGCTTTTCCTCACGGTAGACAGGTAACATTGAAATGACAACTGTATATTCTTTTGCTCGGAGATCTGAAACTGGAGATCTAGATTAAATTCTTATCTGGCTATTAATTTTGATTTGGCCTCAAAATCGTTTTCGATCAAATGTAACCAATTTATATCTTGCTTTGAATTTCGAGCTCTTTGTTTGATTTTCTTTTTATAGGACAAAGCATCGTGTCAGCATCCGTCTCTCGCTCTGTAAAGTAAAAGATATTCAGTTTTCAAATGTCAATTGCAGAACTAAAATATCGAATTCAGGATAGGTTCTAAGATCGCTTTACGAAATTCACAAACCAAGCGACTTTTTGCGGCGATCAGGCTCCGAGTTCAAAATTGAAATTTTCAACAAGCGAACATGCAGAGCAAATTGTGAGATTAATACTCAAAATTTCTCATAAGATTGGAAGGGAAATAATCTATATCCAATACCATATAACAAGTAATCTAAAACCAGTTCTGAGATTGATGTTCGAAAATTTTGAATGAAATGATATTGTACTAGCATCAAAGTAAGAACAGCTCTTGAGATTTAAGACAACTTTTTACTTGCATGGAATTGTGTGCAAACTCTGAGATAGATTTTAGTAAATTAAAATAATTCGAATTTTTTTAAGTCTGTAGCAACCGGCTAAAAATTGAAATATATCTGGAAATTGAACAACTGTAATTAAAAAACGATCTCAGAGGCAGGTAGTGGTTCAAATCCAGCTTCATATTGAACTTCAATCTAAGAAAATTGGAACGTACTTCTCGGATAACATTTGTATGATTTTCAATGCAGATCCACGTTTTTGAACGTTCCTGCTGTGTTCTTATACGGTATAATACTAATTTTCTTCGGTCTGTTACTGTACACACATTATTCAATACAAGAGTGTGATCCATGGTCAGCCGAGTATGTCAGCAATGCCAATCAGGTGCGTGTGTTATTATGTTTTTACGATAAGCTTTCTTTGTGGTTACTCATTCTCCTTATGTCTTACCGTTTTTCCCTTATCAAATATTTTGCTACTTTCCCGCCCTTCGCATCAATATATTGTTTTGGTTGGGATCCGTGAGCATTGCACTCAATTGGTGATTTGTAATCTCGTATATTTTTAAGTTTATTGGTACGCTTTAATTCGTGTTAAACGGTTCGGGAAATAAAGAATATTCTTCTTTTATGAGAAAACAAACTAGATGGACCTATATTAAAAAGCTATTAACGATAAGTATTCGTTATTGCCGTAATACCTTTTTTTATTTTAGTTGATCCCATATTACGTTATGAACGTTTTTCGCAACATTCCTGGAATGACTGGTTTATTTATAGCAGCATTATTCAGTGGAGCTTTAAGGTTTGGACTATTTTATACACTCACATGTCATGCATTTACATGTATATGATGTAATAGCTGTGTTAAAAACTAAGTCATCAAATAAAAAAATCTTAAACATTATTATTGATGGTAAAACTTTCATTATTTGATATAAATGCTCTCGTCAGGTATAGATTGAATTAGATATATTATTTGGAAAGCCACTTTGATGGTGTGTTACAATTCAAAAACTTATGTGACAATGCGAAACATAATTGCTCTCCAAAAATGGACCTAGAATTAATAAAAGTCATGATTTTCATAATATATGTAGGATGAATTTAGTATCTTATTCACCATATATTAACCTATTTGTAACGTAGAAAGGGATGACAAGCCAGAGAACATCTCATCTGGAAAAATGATTACGGCTTCATAAGCACAAATATTTCATTAATGTCTAGTTTATTGATGAACTGAGATAACGCCGAATGTTTGGAAACGGATGTTAAATGAAAATGCTGGTATTTTCTTATAGAAATGAGTTTATTACGCTTTCGCCGCGTGTAAGGGAGGTAAATAATTATTTGCCCTCATCGGTCCGGATGGTCTGCTGTCCTAACGTCGACCGGTTTGTGTCGGTGTGAACCCCGATTGCTTTGACCAAGATAATACCCCTAAATTAGGCAAACGTATTGTTAAACTTTTGTCGCGTGTTACTACAAGCGCCATGTAAAATTTTAAAAATTGTTAGCATCATATTTACTTACGCGCACCAAGGTGATTTCAAGCAAGGCGATTGTCCTGTTTACCTAAAAAATCAACATTTTGTGATTTTCAATCTTTGTCCTGATGCAAAAGTTGGCATATTTGGACTTTTATCATTTGTTATCTTACAACTTTAATGCGTGGGCTTCTGCGTCTAAATGACTCATGTCTAGTTTTATTATATGACTTGTCTCCCTTGTTGTTTGAATTAAGGTCCTCGAAGTTTTGTAATTTATGACAAGGTAAAAAGGGAAATATTTTTTTAGTTAAGGTACTTTAACATTTTTCTGCAATTCAAATTATTACAATACTTTATGTTATCTATTATAGGTACAAACGCGTACATTAAATATTTTATTTCAGTACGCTGTCGTCTGGTATATATGCAATGTCTGCAAACACGTTACAAGATATTTTGGTAAATGTATTAGAACATGCATCAGAATTTACGAAGACACTTATTGCAAAGCTTGTAGGTGAGTTTGAATACTTTATTCATTTTCACTGTATTTATTCATTTGTTTAAATGATTCTATATTTGCTAACAGGGACCTATCATCTTTTCTATATATTCTATACCTTTGCTCGTTGTATGTAATTTCACGATCGTTTGGTGGAATACACATTCTTTGTTTTTCCAAACTTCAAAGAGGTTGTTTATTTAAAGAGATTTTTGTCCTTATTTATAACGATTTTGTTATTCTAATCAGTTCTTAGGGTCATCAAGGTATTAGTATTATTTCAAAGATACTAGTCAACCTGATCGGTCCTCAATGCTTATCATGAATTGATAAGGTTTTTTTATTATATAATACGAGGCCAATACCGTACACTTATTAAGTGGATTTAGAGTAAAATGCATCTGAAGGAATTAAATATTTTACATCACTTACAAGTTTCGACGTAATGTTTATCTTATTTAGTGCTCTTGTATGGTATACTGACTTGCCTACCTTGCCAGGACCTTGTCAGGTCCTGTTACACAGGTAATGTTGATGCTTTATATCTCAAGATCGATGATTATATGAAGAAAAAACAATAAATTTAATCATAAAGTATTTACTCGTATTATTGATATTTTTGGTCATACTGTAGTTTTAATTTACAATCATATGTATATTATACGATTATAGCAATTTTTTGTTTAACTTTTCATGTTGTTCTCCTCACATTTGTATGAATGTAAATGGCGATGAACATTTGATTATGTTTGGCGAATAAAATATTGAATTCAATTGTAGTGTTATTCCAGTGGAAGGTAATTTCTTATTCGATTATAATAGTATGCAATGTGGTATTGTAAATGTCAAACATTGTTCTTGTTCATGTACAGAAATACACTGTACTTTCCAACAAATGTTGACTAAATGAAAAAAGCAACGTTGTATAATACTTTCAATCCGTTTTGTTCCCGAGTGGTATTCGGTGAAGTGCTCCAAATGTGTATTTATTTTTCTTTGCTTGAAGTCCGATTTATCCTTAATTATGTTATATCTTATTGACAAAACAAAATTTAAACAATTTCAGATTGTTTCATTAACTCCCTATTCAAATTCACAGTCCCTGTTACTTGTCTTTAAATGTTTTATCTGAATAAAAACAAACAAAGAAAAATGTATTTCGAAAACATTCTTAATTCTGATTTTTGTTTACAAATTCTCCCAGCGCTATTTGTATATTTTAGGAATACATTGGTTGCGTTGCAGTTACTTTGTTAACAAGCACAAGTACTTTTGTAAACAATGATTTTTAAGAAAATAAAGACATTTATTCAATTATTTGTGGCGGTTTTTTATGTGTTTTTCCTGGCCAATGTATACATATTAAATAGTTACATGAACCTAAACACATTCGTGACACTTTTTACGAAAAGATTTTGATAAGAATAAGCGTAAATTTTGACTTGAATTTCAGTTATTTAGCAAAAGGACATATTTCGTTATTTTGTTATATTTTCTAGATAGATTTCATGGACAGCAATGGGTGCTACAGGGGGATCTATAGTCGGTGTTATGTTTCTAGGAGCAACATTTCCTCAAGCAAACTGGATTGTACGGCATATTTAAATAACTTTCAACATCACGTTTAAATGACTTTATAAGATAATGTCATGAAAGGCTTTGTTTATACATAAAAATAGATTTTTTATTCACTCCCAATCCGATGAAAGAGTTTATATAGCATAAGTGCTTACAACAAATCCATGTTATACATAAATGTGTTGAAAACTTTTATAAATTACGCCGCCTTTTTATTTCAATAATGACGTAATTATGACGTATACCCAAATAAGTTTTTCCTTTTAAATTTATAAGGGCGCATTTTCCGGAGGTATCGCAGGGATAGCAATGGCAACATGGTTAGCATTGTGTCAACTTATGTATGGCATTAAACCACCGGTATCGAGAAGAATACCAACGACTGGTTGTGTACCTTACAGTTCATGGGAGATAAACAGTACAGACCCAACTCCTGCAGGGATGACTACAGTTATTCTACAAACAACAGATACATTCGCCAGTGAAACAAAGTAACTTGATATGATTTTTCATATCGGACGTTAATCTATTTTTTTAAATTTTTTTTAAGATACTAACATTGATTTGGAAAGTGTATTTATCATTGCCGTTTCAACTATCATTTGTTCTATTATTTTGCGTTTCTTGTTATTCTACTTCAACTGAGACTCTTTCACATTTTACGAATGTAATTATTTGCAGTTATCGTTTTGCTTATAAAATCAAGGTGGTGAGCTTAATACGTAGTAAAGTATCGACGATGATAATTACTGAATAAACAAATAAATAAATAAAAATAAATAAATGAATAAATGAATAATTAAAATAATTAATCAAATTGGTTTCATACATACCATTCACAGAAATGGCATTCGAAATTAGTCCATGAATTTTAGACTGTTACATTCTTTGTTTTAATAGACGGCGACCATCTAGCATTTTATGATATTTCATATCTTTATGTTGGTATATTCGGATTTCTGGTGGCGTTCGTTACAGGCTTAATTATCAGTTTATTTACGGTTCGTGCTTTTATTTTTTTACCCACTCTTGACATACACACGCCCTATTCTGCCTTTTTTTGTCGATAACGTCAAATAAATTTCATTAAAGCTCGCATCAGAATCCAAAATGAAATTGTAAAGAGCTAATAACCTTTCCGAGGTTACCGCTATGGAAAAGAAACCGTTAACTGTAACAGTGTATTAACAATATCTGTTAAACTTCTTTAAGAAAAACTGACTGCTTCTTAGCCAAACAAGAGAACGACACTATTTTAAACAGTTTTGTTCAATGAAGCGAAATCAATGGTTCAAATAGATTTCAATCTTAAATATCTGAACAATATATTACTGGTGATATTTAGCAATTATTTCAAATATTTTAATCTATCAGGAATGGACCGTGATGAACCGACCGAGGCCGAGTATATATTCCCTGGTTGGCGGTCAGTTTTGAAGAAGACAGGCTACACAGTCGTTAGAAAGCCACGGACTTCCACGGCTGCAGAAATGGTATCCTTCAATAATGTTAAAAATTAAAGTGAAACAAATCGAATCATTTAAATTATGTTGTAAGAGTGTGCATCTTCACGCTTTTTGAATAAATAAAAATTACAGTTCAATATTCTGCGTTTTTATCAGTCTATGTTATGCTCATGGTGTATGTTGAAATATGCACTACTAACAGGACTTTATTCTTGTTTAATTTTATTTTCATTGAGCGACCATCGCTATTTTTATCATCATTTTTCAAAACAATATAAATATAGCGTAATTTTTCTGTAAACAGGAATTAAAGAAGATTGAAAGTTCTGGTTTACAATCCATTGTAGCGCCTATCAAATCTCTAGACCTTAACTAGTACAACACACACTCGGAAGATGAACTGTGAATGACACCCTTCGTCGAGCAAATCTAGCTTACCTGACATTAGAATATACATAACTATATTTCTGGTACTTTTCAAGTGTGTTCTATGAACACATAATTACTTAATCTTGTTTTTGTTTTTGTTGTTAAAATATGCAAAATATAACACGTTTATATCTCTACTTTATCTTTATAATTCCTTTTTTACGAATTCGTACATGTACAATAGAAATGTTTTTATCACTTTCATCCTATAATACCTTATTGACAGACTCAATAAAAAGCAGTCTGAAAATATCAGCTTTACATTATCTTTTGTACTGTAAATATCGCTCTTTCTCGGAAAAGTCAATTTGAGCCGCGTCACGACAAAACCAACATAGTGCGTTTGCGACCAGAATGGATCCAGACCAGCATGCGCTTGCGCGCAGTCTGATCAGGATCCATACTGTTCGCTTACAAACCCTATAACACGTAGAGAGACTTATCAGTCTGATCAGGATCCATGCTGTTCGCTATCAGTTTCTCTACTTGCTATAGGGTTTGTAAGCGAACATCATGGATCCTGATCAGATTGCGCGGATGCGCAGGCTGATCTGGATCCATGCTGGTCGCAAACCCATTATGTTGGTTTTGTCATGACGTGGCTCATTTCATTTTGACACAACACAGGCAACACGTTGATGTTTTGGTTAGATTAATTATGTTCATAGACGACAGTGTTAAACGAATTGGAGCACAAGTGGGCTAATTGCATTGATGTAGAGGACGATTTTATTGAAAAGTAAGACCATTAGTTGGGTGCTCTGACTACCGAAAGTACATCGGGCCAAAAACTTTTTGGTCATACTCGTATGTACAGACAAAATGTACAGTTTTCTTTATCAAATCAAGTGTTTCTCAGAGATGTTTGTTGTGTTGATGTTGATATGAAAACTATTTCTTGTATATTCTTATTCTTTTTGCAGATATTTCTTAAAGTTTTATAATAATAATTTTCCATTTTAAATTAAAAATTGTACAAAAAATGGCCTGACTTGGACAGAATATAAAGTGTTTGTTACCAATCTCAAAGCAGGTGCGATACGAATTACGTAGATTTGATATAGATAAATCGATTAATCCGATAAAAAAATAAGTAATGTATTATTTTATTGTTAAGTGATAGCGTAAGAAAATTAGAACGATAACAAACAAGTCAATGCTACGTTCACAGTGCAAAGTCCCAGGCATTATTAAGCCACACAGAACAACAACAGCAGAGAAAGGTTAAGGATGTAAGGACAAATGAGGATGAAAATAAAATAGTTCCATGGTCCCATTTATAGTCAGTGTTGTCTAAACACTTAAAGGGAAAGGGAAGAAACTACTATCATAATAAAATTTTATTCTAAAGACAGTCCAAGCAGGTGCTTATCCATGTCAGCTTTTGACAACAAACAAACACACCTCACCTATTTAACTGCCTTCTCAACACATTCAAGAATGGTTAACATTCAGCCCCCATCAATGTTTTCCATTTAATTGTGAGAAAAGGTTATATATTACACGTGGGAAAATTCCAATAGAAGACTACCGAAATTCTTTTATGAAAAATGTGCGCTCCGGTTTTTGAAACCTGACGCTGGGTACTGTTTAAATATATGAAACGACTTAATAAAACAAATGAATACAAATATCAACAGCATTCATGAAACGCAATCCATGGAAACATTAGTCCTAGACAGCATTTTTCACTTTTTTATTAAGTCATTATCATCGGGAGACCTCAGTTTTACACATCTAATATCTTGATTTCTCAATGTGTCATTAAATATCTATATTTGAAAAAGATTATCTATTCATATCTTAAACGAATGTTTGACAGTGCGTTTCGTAAATTATAAACCTTTTAAATAAACCTCATTCAAAATAGCGAAATGTAAGTTAATATGCAATATTTTGCATATCTAAGATCAAAGGTGCAGAATGACATCCATTGATCTAGTACAGTTAATACACATTTCTTGTCTCAAAACGATAACACCTTGTAACTGTTCTGTGAGAATAAAGAAAAAGGAAAATGTTAATCCAATATTTTTGTAACACTTCTATCCTGGAATGGAATCTTAAAATAGATCAACCTTATCGAGAATCATATTTCCATAAAAGCCTAAGCCTATTGATATTATGTCCATCCGATTGTATAAGGAAAGTGAACAGGTGAAAATAAATTTACAGTTTGCCATAATTCCTTTCAATTTTATAATTTATTTCGCATGACCCAATGGCATTTATGTAAATATCTATCGGAATATACCTGTAACGTTCAATTTATAAAAAAAAGTAGGGCAGTCTTTTTATACTTCAGAGAGTTGCGAAGCAGCCAAGTCTTCTGTGATTTTGAATAAGATTCAGGATTTACTGCGGAATGACATGCTATATTTAGCGAGTCTTCAATAACAATACAAGTTCAGAAAAACATTCTCATACATCAGCTTAACGCTCCATGATCAATTTTAAATGTCTGGCTTTTTTGCAAAACATTTATTGTACATTTTCTTCAAATGAAAAGACAATATTTTCGTATCTTCGTATACAAATAATGGGTGGTGCAACTGTCTGTCGTTTTCTGAGATTTAATATCGTGGAACCAGACTTAAAGTAAAGCATGCGTAAACACGTTGTCTCCACCTAAAAGGACTGTTTCGCATTTGGACGAAATGCATTGGTGTAAGAGTTGTTGCAGTGCACTGTCATAAAACATCTAAATTTTTCAATATATCCATTTGTTGACTTTTAGAAACTGGGAAACAAGTTCGTTTTGAAGAAATCTATTTTGCTTTGTATTTTAGTTTATGCTCAAATTTGATGTTTTATCGTTGGTCATTTGCTTATTTAAAGTTAATAATATAACGTTTAGTTGAGATATAATTAATTAATTTTCAAGCCATCATGATAAAAATATACGAAAACATAAAAATAAGACACGTGGTGTCGGAGTCCTGGCACATTACGACATTGACTGAGCGTACTCGTCCAGTCTGACAAGTACTACTGGTACGAACGTAATGGAATTTTCAAGCCGTAACGCTTCCCCTTTAATTTCAACAACTGCGCAGATCGAGACAGATATTCATCTGGGTTATAGCATTTTATTCGATGGCATTGAACAGCTGACCATTCCTTCCCATCTATTTCACACGTGCGTAAAAACCTCGCTTGTTTTATCATTTTATGTTGTTGTTGTTGTTTTTTTTTTGTTTTTTTATTTAAGGGCGGCTACATCGCACCAACACAGTATATGTCATATGGCGACTTTTCAGCTTAATTGGTGGAGGAAGACGTTAGATGCATTATTTCAGGTATGAGTGGACACCTGAGTAGAACCTTCGACGTTCCATAATCTAGCTTAATAGCTTTCCCCCACGAATAAAACCAGAGTCCTTGGCGGGATTCGAACATACAGCTGCAAGAAGCAAGTGGTTTAAAGTCAACACCGCTATGTCACGGACGCAATAATAATATATATTTTTTCAACATCTTCAGGACTGGGAATCAGAACTGTCTCGTAGTTTTAGTAAATGATGCAAATTTATATTTTATATAATTGATTTGAAGCATAAAACGATGGATAAAGCAATATGAACTTCGTCGTATCCACAAAACTTCATAAAAGTTCTGGCCCGCTTAGAGTTGCAAGTTTGCTTTAACTTTTGTTTTACAAAAACGATGTGCAAGCAACATATAACGGACGAAGCGGAAAATAGTGGAGCGTATTAATACATAAATCTGGTTTACAGTCATGTCCAGCGAAAAGAGAAATAAACAATAACATACATTTGTCGTCCCAAATAGTGGCGTTTGTTTACATTTTGTAGGATACGACGTAGTTCTGATTCCCAGCCTTATCATACATATGATTATAACCTCATGCATTCTTATGCTGTCAATAAAATAGAGAAAAACAGAATCCCTAAAAAAACCCAACACGACTAAACTGTAAATGTTGCAGGCTCGATTTGATTGAGTCTGTTCATGGACGGTACTGGAAAGTGCAAGATACCGTCCACGCCCCCTAGCACCGGCTTTAGCAGAATTCAACATTTAACACGAAACTGATAAAATTTTGAATTTAGAAACATTCGCAGATGTGTTCATACGGCGGTTATCATGGAACCTTCAATGTGACACAGTAGTGCCATTCCATGAAAAACGGCGTATGGTCCCCAAGTAAAAGAATGCTTTTGCCCTAAACGAGAAAACAATGGGCGGAACTAAATAAAATGGAATTTTGAAAGAGGATCTGAGGTTCACACATAAGACGTCAAAAGATAAATTTAAGAAGCAGGCAAAATATCCTAAGGGTGATTATACAGTATTCAAGCCACCCAAGTTGAAAATGGCCAAAAAGAAGAAACTAAAAGTACCACATAACATATTTGATCTATTTATATGAATAACATTTCTAGCATAAAACATGATAATGCATATAATAATAGTGTGCGGTACCTTGTATGTTAAAAATGTTGTAGTAATTATACAAGACTTTAATTAGCTAAGTTATCTACATGTAAGGCCTTTAAAACAATTAACATGAAATGAAGTTTATCCGTGCTATTGTTATTCTTGTCAGGTCTTTCATTTCTTAAATGGGGGTACGGTTGTGATTTAATACACGACCTTGCATTCAAAGGTACATTTTGATGTACAAATGAACCTGCTCTGGTTTTATATGTAGATTTATCTACCGTTTTAAACTGATGTCCTAAAGTTAGTTAGACGAGCATTTGAAAGTTCTACAATAAAGGATTTTTGATATAACAAGTATAATGTGTTTCTAGTACAAGTACAGCTAACCCGTCTGCTGAATGTTGGGACAAGTGACACAGTATACCCATCTTCACTCTCACCAAAATAGGTTCAAATCCTGCCAGCGGCATTGAAATCTCTTACTGTTAAGCAAAAAAGGAAAGCTAACTTAACAGTCTAGCCATTTATTTGCTGAAGATTTGAAAGGGTTTTGCCCTGCTTTAATCTTTAACAGTCCATGTAAATTTAAGTGCTTTTTTATATGAAAATTAAATAATGGCACAATATCATACTGCACGAAATGTGACTGACTGTATATAGGTTGCGAAAACTAAACACTTTTTGTTTCAGTAGGTTAAGGAAGGTGGTGGTTAATCGAAGGCACTGATTATACAGTGTATATGCATATATTATTCTGATAAAAGTTAATTGATAATAAAAAGGGTTTGTAATAGAAAGGACATCTAAACACGAGGCTGTCACGAGGTCCCCAAGTATCAATGCAATTGCCGAGTGTTTTGATTAAGAAATAACATCGGCCTAAGAGGTGTTTATCGGCTATTTAACATCTGTTTTGGAGTTTTGATGCGTAGGAATTTACCACGAAGGCCGTAGGCTTGAGTGGTTAATTTTTTCGCATGAAAACGACAAAACCCGTTGTTTTCAGTCATTTCCAACAAAAAGAGTTATAAACCGAAACATACCTTTTTCGTCCCAAGATGGCGGCGTATGTTTACATTTTGTAGGATACGACGCAGTTTTGATACCCAGCCCTGAATATGTAAACCCCAGAAAAAAGCCAATCAATGGGCATGATCTGGAGTGCGGGTAACTAATATCTGCACTCCAGTTAACGCACTTTCCATGTACGTATATATATACGATTTAACATTTTCATCAAAAAGGTCTCCAAACTATGATACAAATAATGTTTGTTTTATTCACTGGCATTTAACTTTCAGATTTTGAAGATCAAATATATGATCTTTTAACCACTGTTCTATTACTTATGAGCTTTATTTATTAACCACCTTCCAAGCACAATGTTTAAATTGCTGTAGCATAATGCATTAACAATCATTTCCATTGAATAAATTTCATGGTTTTTCTATGCTTCAGTTGAAATGTCAAATATGTAGGATATTAAACTCCCTGTTATATCAAGTTAGTAAATAAGCTAGCTCTTAGGTTACGAGTGTTTATCAATTTATTTGCTTGTGAATCTGGTTGAAGAATGAAGCGGTTAGAATTTCACGTGGCGGACTACGTTGTTATGCTATTTTTCTTAGCAATATCTTCTGCAATAGGTATTTATTATGGCTTTTTTAAAAAACAAAGGACTACAGAGGAATATATTCTTGGTAACAGACAAATACATCTTGTTCCTGTTGCTCTGTCTTTGGCAGTTACCTTCCAATCTGCATCATCTATCATTGGACTACCAAGTGAAGTATATTTATATAACATTATGGTGTTCTATATAACATTTGGAATTTCACTGGCGAATATCGTGCAGGCATTTGTCATTGTACCGTTGATACATCCGTTAAGATTGACCAGCGCTTATGAGGTAATGTTTTCACTTTCTCTCTCTTTGCTTATTCCTGTTAGCATTTTGGTATTTGAATTATAAGGATGTTATTTTTTTATATGTAAAAACATTTAATAAGTAATTGTCTGGAATAGGCAATATAATGTTTCGAAATATTTTTAAAGGTAGGATGCAAAGTTCTTTACGTTTTTGTATATATATTTCGAAATATTTTAACAGTATCTATTGCGCCGTTTCAAGTCTAGAGGGGTCCAGCTGCTTGGCATGACCATGGGTATGCTGCAAACGGTAGGCTCATTATTTTCTAGCAATACTTTTAATACATGTAATACAGTCATAAAAAAATAAGAATAAGATATACATTTATATTATGAGAACAAATATTAAGAAAGAAGGGCGACATTCAACAAACGCATTAGCAAGCCACCAAACATTTGATACATTCCGGTCGTATTCTCAAATTAAAGTTTAATTTTCATTGTTTTATCAATGTTGATAATTAAGTTATGAAATAGAATATATTAGAAACTGAATTAGAAATATATAAGAAAAATGAAATGATATGAGCTTAAATATATGATTATCCATGTAACTCACTACAAGTATTTTTCCACTCTTTGTCTTTTAAAAGTGTGCTATTTTTATTCATTGTACCATGCATATATTATTTTATTCAGCTTCTTTATGTTAGTGTTGTGCTGTATTCTCCAGCTCTAGCACTTGAAGCAGGTAAAACCTTTTGTTGTTTGCCCCTTTTATAATTAATTTTGATTTATCATTTTAATAATATTTATCCAATGTTTGCATTTGAGTGTTTTAAACACAAAGTTATTAGCTTCACAAAGGTCATTTCATTTGTCTAGTTCAAAGCATTTAAAAACAGTTAATTAATGAAAAACGAGCTATATGTGCAGGTATTTGCTTTATTAATCATAAAACAAGATTCTCATTTGTAAATAATCATTATGTTATCAAATGTTTTAAAGGAGTTGATAAGAAAATTATCGTTTTATTATAGCTAACACCTTTTAAAATGATAAAATATCGTTAAATTGCAAACCATTTCAATACAACGAACTTTATAGCGTAAATATTTGAATAAATCAAATAGATCTAAAATGTTATTAATATTGTAAAGAAATGCTAAAATATCGGTTTGTTTAACGAAATAAAATATTGTTTACCGGATGTGCTCTGTCTATGCATAGTATCTGATATGTCCATTGCAGTTGCAGGGATTCCAATCTGGTTATCGGTGGTATTAATAGGATGTATAGGAACTGTTTATACATCCATTGTAAGTCTTTTATTGATGAATTAGAATAAGCGGCATTTAAAATTGTTACCTTGAAGTTTTAATATTTTTCATAATTGCTTCAACCATAATTTAATCGTTAGAAGCATATTATCATTTTGTCAAAGAAAACACTTGATGTATAATATATGTTTTTAATAAAAAAGAGACGGAGCATTGCGTTTCTCTCTTTGTTAAACTGTATTTCAAACTGACCAAACGAGGCAAATTGACGTTTATGCCAATAAAAACCTAGCATATTTAAGCAAAACGATAGTTCAATCTAAACATCAAGCCTAAAATAGCACTATTGCATTTAAAGTACATTGTTTTTAGGGTGGTATGCGAACAGTGATATGGACGGACGTTTTCCAGTTTGTGATGCTGTATGGCGGTATAACTGTCATACTCGTGCTTGTAAGTTTCTTTTATTTATTCTCTATAATGCTTTTTTATAATTTGCAACATAAAATTTAAACACTTTTGGAAAGCAGAGATCCCTTAAGAGCAATAAAAACAAGCGCAAAAATGTTGAAAAGCGCAGATTTGGTTTAAATGAGTCTGTTTATGACAGTCTGGTCATGACGAAACATTTCTCGACGTTGAACTGGAGTTCACTAAGACGTTAACATATACATTTATTACCCTTCCAGATTTTTTCCGCCTTTTTGATTGGATATTGATCACCCGAAAGAAATTGATATAACCGAGCTAGACGGGTAATATACACACTAAATTTCCCCGTTTGGTATCCAACGTTGTAAACAACATGCGCGGAGATGATGCGCGTACGGTTCGATTTTACGCGGTGTAAATTCCGATTTAAAAGCACTTTTTAACTGTCAAATGATAAATATTTACCAAAGTAGAGTTATGATACATATAACCATCAGTATCGAAAACAAATATGACCTTGTGAAAGCTTGATATTAATTACAAAAAAGTGCGTTCAATAGACTACTCCTTTTCTCTTGTTTACTTTTGTAAGGTACGGGAAAAATACGTCATGTATTTATGTGACGTCATGTTGTGACGAAGAGGTATCCTAAAGGGAATCTTATTTCGACGTTTCATTTGAAACAGCAATGATTATTTAAAAAATCGTCTAAACTCGGCAGGGGAAGGGTAATAAAATTATTATTTTGGTTTTGGAGTGATATATGTGGATATATTACCTGCCAAAAACCAAAATAACATATAATATGTCTTGTCCACCATCGTAATTTTAGTTACCTTGATAATTAATGGATATGATTTCTTCAATTGTCTTATTTTTACAGTTGTCAGCGGTCCCTCTGTATATGTATTATCCTTGTGAGATGAGATTGAAATGAATTATTTTACAATATCCAGTTTCACTTAACACTAATACTAGAGGAATATCGGCGCTTCTTTACATTTTTGTTTCATCCATGAATACGTTTCAAAAAAAGAACCCCTGTAATCTAGTGCTGAAAATCTCATCGGTCGGTCCGCATGAATAGTTTTCTTCGAGAACTTACAAGTAGTAGCCAATTTCTCCGCAAGTTACCGACTACTAATCCCACATTGAATCGGTTGTGTCGAAAGACCAATGTCGCGATAAACTTTTGTCTTACCCGAGGATGGAACAAGCATCTCATTCCTTCCTTGTTACAAATCCAACGCCGTATCCGTTTTGTAAAACGACTGGACTTGCTTCAGCATAATTTTGTTATAATTTTCATAAACTTGAGAAGACAATGTATTCCAACACGAATTTATCGTACCATAATAAAAATTATTATCAAGAACGGATTGTACGTTATTTATTTCAACATAATTACATAGTAATCTAATGCATAGAGGATGGTGGTTAATTATTTAAGTACACCCAATGTTTGGTCGTTTAGGGCACATGCATTATTTTACTTAGGGACCATACGCCGCTTTTCATGGATGACACTTACGTGTCACGTTGAGGGTTTTATGATGACCGCTGTACGGACACATCTGCGGTTGTTTCTAAATTCATGTATAGATGTTGAAAACCGTTTAGCCAATGCTAGGGGACATGAACGGTAGTTTCCAAGTAATAGAAAGAGCACCGAAACACGAGGCTATCTGATTTGTACGAGGGGGCGTAGCCCCCGAGTATAAATCAGATTGCCGAGTGTTTTGGTGTTCTTTCTCTTTTGTATCATAGTCAAACATAAAAGCACGTTCCCTGTTGTCACAATATGAAACCCCGGCAAAAATGAACCAATGAACGAACATCTGAATATGACATTTCTGTCGCTTTCCCTTTCTCTGCCGTCACAATATGTAAACCCCAGCAAAAATGAGCCAATCAATGGGCATGCTCTGGAGTGCGGGTAACTAATACCCGCACTCCAGTTAACGCACTGTGCATGTATATGTATACGATTTAACCCTGACACATTTTCAACAGAAAGGTCTCCGAACTATGATACAATTACCACTAACCTCCATAAACAGTCTTAGTCAAACGGAGCCTACGACGTTTTCACTTTTTCGTTTTGGGCTTTCCTAAGGGATTCTTATGTTCCCTATCTTTCTCTATCTTAAAAGAATTTATTTACCTTTAAGGAAAATCAAATTCAATAAAAGAATGAATCTAATGATATTCTGAAAAATACATGTATAATATATAAATGTTGTTGGATTCAGTTTTGATTTTTCAGGGCGTGTCTAAGATAGGGAGTTTCTCGAATGTGTATGAGCTGTCATTGAAAGGCGATCGCCTGAAATTTGATGAGTATTAACATTCACTATTTTTATATTGTTAAAAGTGCACACTTTTGTTCAAAACCAGCCTAACAATGTAATTTAAAGAAAATGTTGCGCATAGATTGTGCAAATTGCTGGTAGCGCAAAAAAGCTGAAGTAGTCAGTAAAAGTTTTTCCCCCAAGATACTACTTCCGAGGTTAAACTGTGATTTAGCTATGTAACGCAGCCTAACGACGCTGCTGCATTAGAATGATAGCATTTTATCATGCCATTACTATGACAACTGCCTGATAAAGCCTGTCTGAGAACATCAACCTTTCTCAGTCAGTGACTTGAGAACACTATGTTCCTACGCCAGATCAGCATTGATGATGTTTATTGTTGGTATTGTTTAATTGACTTTGCTGAATATTAATGATAATACACAGTAAATAAATTGTTAAAACAGATTGTACCAAAAATTGTGTTGTGTTATAAAATTATTGGTAAAAACCCTCGGACTACTTTTTGGCGTAAAACCCTCTTGTGGTTACCGTACTTTCAGAAATTTAGCGCCCCGAATTAAAAAAATAAGATGCAAAGTCATAATAGAGGCATGATAAAAAGAATAACAGGTTACTGTCTTTTAAGGAAGGGATTTCTCAGACTCGGCTAGATATGGTCCGGAAGGGGCTCGGCAAGCCTCGCCCTTTCCAGGACCATATCTAACCTCGTCTGAGAAACCCTTTCTCAAAAGACAGTAACCTGTAATTCTCTATTTCTTTTGCGGACTTGATCAGATTCTGACATGTCAAGATGTACCGTGTAGATATAAGTGATCTTCTAGGGGCAGTGTGAACTTTAAACTAGAAAATAAAATTGTGTTCGATAAAGCTAATTTTATGGACTGCAAGTCAAGTATTTATGAATATCTGTCTATGTTATGACCGTCCAAAACTCTCCTTACCATGATTTTAAGCAAACGCTAAGCAATATCTGTTAGCTATTGCACTGAATATGGAATAAAATTTAACTACAAAGTCAGCTTTTCTTCTAAGCGGAATGCAATTTTTCTCCAATCTTAGCATTTAATGACACTTTTTTGCTAACTCTATAAGAAAGGGACATCCGGGTACGGTAAAGGCTTTGGTCTTCCGAGGTCCACATTTGCTATTTGGGCTCGGTTGAGTTAACATTTCCTTATCAGTAACTACTGTCTTAGTCATCACCGTCATCCGATTGGGGTTTTTTTAATGAGGACTCAGATGACTATTACAGGGTCATTATGGGCGTCTTCCTTTTATTGATTAAATTTTTAGGCACTTGCTGTTTGTTATCACTTTAATTCATTCCCTGGGGCTTTGACTTTAAACCAAGTCCTGGTAAATCTCTCGCAATGCGGTGAACGGTCTAGTGGTAAAATCACCACTAAATGTATTTGCCCTCCGGTTATAAACTTACCATGGCAACATATTAAAATATAAAATCACTACAGTGCCTAATAATTACAAACGTATAAGCACTGCGCCCTGCTACTCCATACACTTCTCCCCCGCATCCCGTGAACGGTTTTGAGTGAGTGCAGTATTGAAATACGTCATATAAAAAGCAGTTGTGAAAAACGTCAATGTCACAAACTAAAAATAACACAAATTTCGACTGACAATGTACTGTACGTATATATACGTATGTATTTTTGTGTACATATTCACATGCAAATGAAATTTGGCATCGTCACGGTCATCAAAGTTAAAGGCATGTCCATTTTAGAACTTAATTTATTTAACTTCCTACTTAATGATTAGTTAATACTCTTTATGCGGCAAAAGATTGAACCCCATATACGCAATATTTGGTTTATATGTTACATGTAAGTATTGTCGTCCTGTTTATTTGTTAAATCCTTCTGCATGAAAATTCGGTCACGTTTATGAGGTACGGGTTTCATGCGACATTACAATGCGTGGCCCGCCCAACGCTGATGGCGACGAATTAGTATATGTACTTTCTGTGATAAGCAGTGAAGCTAAATGATGTAATGTTAAACAAAGAAAATTGGATCATAACTTATTTTGGATAGAAAATGTAAAGAATGTTATACTTCTACCATTTTTTTTACTTTTTTAAAGACAACTTCCGGATATTTGCCATTTTGCTATCGCAGCATTGTTGCAATAACGCATGTGATATTGTGGCATGATTTTATGTCGATCTATTTTTAAAATGGAAAAGTAAATTTAAAGCTACATTACTAAAATGTGTAATGCTTAGAAACATATTGTATAATATTGTTTAATTTCATTGATGCATCGTTTTCTCTTCATGCAATGGACACTTATCGGTAAATGAATATGTGTAATTCCTTTTCATGCCAGAACTCTTCTTAAAGTAATTTATATATATATAAATTTAATTAAAAAGGAATTACACATATTCGTTTACCGATAAGTGTCCATACAATACAATCATTTTCGTTTAGGATTAATCCCGACCCTCGGATCCGTCATTCTGTGTGGGGATGTGTTATAGGTGGTATGTTTAATTGGCTGCCTAACTGTTGTAACCAATCTGCAATACAAAGGATATCCTCTGTACAAACAAAGAAGCATGCTCGAATGTAGGTATTCTGATCATTTATGTTAAATCCCACCGTAACACAACAATTATTTACTGAAAATAACATAAAATTTAATGTACTCATCATAGCATAACCCCATAGTATCTTATCTTACTGAACGCATCGTTACTTAACACTAAATGTTATCAAACATTGCCACATAACTCTTAACGTACTCATCGTAACATATTACTTAATATACTCATCGTTACATTATATGCAATGAAATCATACAACCTAATGTTTAACGTACTCGTCGTAACATAATACTTCATAGTATGTACTCATCGTAGTAACTCATCGTAAAAAACTTTTTTCATTTCATCGTTTTACCTGCAAATATCATCTAGTTCTTTGACGATAACATTTATCAATTTGCATTGCTATTTATTTGTTTCCAAAATGCATTCATTTAAATGATTTTCACATTTATGTTATGTTTATTTTATGAATATTATTACTATCGATATTTTATATTTAGTGCTACACTACTGAACATTCCGCTTGATTTTATATTTACATCTATCCTGATTCTGACTGGACTTGTTTTGTACGCCTACTTTGTTACACAAGCTTGCGATCCGTTGGAAAGTGACAAAATATCAAATCCAAATCAGGTGAGTTAATTAAAGTCATGTTTGCTGATGTATATAAAACTACATATTAGATAGTTAAGTATACGAGTATGTCAGATATTCACTATGTTATTTGTATACTCTGTATGTATCATTTCAACAGTATGACTCCATGAAATTTAACTAGGCATCATATCGAAAAGCTTGTTTTTGTTGTTGTTGTTTTTTTTTAAGTGGATTTTCTTTGTTTGTTTCCTTTTGAAAGACAGTAAAAATACCATCCCGTGGAAAATACTGTTACTCGAGGCGTAGCCGAGGTTTTTAGCTCACCTGTCACAAAGTGACAGGGTGAGATTTTGTGAACGCTTTTCGTCCGGCGTCCGTCCATCCGTCGTCCGTCCGTCCGTCGTCCGTAAACTTTTACTTTAAATGACATCTCCTCATAAACCACTAAGCCAATTTCATCCAAACTTCACATGAATGTTCCTTTGGTGGTCACCTTTGAAAATAGTTCAAAGAATTTAATTCCATGCAGAACTCTGGTTGCCACGGCAACCAATAGAAAAAACTTTTAATATCTTCTTCTAAAAAATCCAAAGAGCTAGAGCTAAGATATTTGGCATGAAACATCTTCTAGTGAATGTCTACCAAGTTTGTTCAAATAAAAGCCCCGTGGTCAAAATTTGCCCGCCCCAGGGGGTCATTGATTTTCCCTATATGCATATAGTAGAACCTTAAAAAATTTTCTTAAAAAGAACCCAAAGACCTATAGCTTAGATATTTAGCATGAAACATCTTCTAATAGATGTCTACCAAGTTTGTTAAAATAAAAGCCCTGGGGTCAAAATTGGCCCCGCCCCAGGGGGTCATTGATTTTCCCTAAATGCATATAGTAAAACCTTAAAAAATCTTCTTTTAAAGAACCCAAAGAGCTAGAGCTAAGATATTTAGCATGAAACATGTTCTAATGGATGTCTACCAAGTTTGTTCAAATAAGAGCCCCGGGGTCAAAATTGGCCCGCCCCAGGGGGTCATTGATTTTCCCTATATGCATATAGTAAAACCTTAAAAAATGTTCTTAAAAAGAACCCAAAGACCTATAGCTTAGATATTTAGCATGAAACATCTTCTAATGGATGTCTACCAAGTTTGTTCAAATAAAAGCCCTGGGGTCAAAATTGGCCCCGCCCCAAGGGGTCATTGATTTTCCCTAAATGCATATAGTAAAACCTTAAAAAATCTTCTTTTAAAGAACCCAAAGAGCTAGAGCTAAGATATTTAGCATGAAACATGTTCTAATGGATGTCTACCAAGTTTGTTCAAATAAGAGCCCTGGGGTCAAAATTGGCCCCGCCCCGGGGGTCATTGATTTTCCTTATATGTGTATAGCAAAAACTTAAAAATCTTCTTGTAAAGAACCCAAAGACCTAGAGCTAAGATATTTAGCATGAAACATCTTCTAATGGGTGTCTACCAAGTTTGTTCAATAAAAAGCCCTGGGGTCAAAATTGGCCCCGCCCCAGGGGGTCATTGATTTTCCCTATATGCATATATTAAAAACTTTAAAAAATCTTCTTTTAAAGAACCCAAAGACCTAGAGCTAAGATATTTAGCATGAAACATCTTCTAATAGGTGTCTACTAGGTCTGTTCAAATAAAAGCCCTGGGGTCAAAATTGGCCCCGCCCCAGGGGGTCATTGATTTTCCCTATTTGCATATAGTAAAAACTTATAAAATCTTCTTTTAGAGAACCCAAAGAGCTAGAGCTAAGATATTTAGCATGAAACATGTTCTAATGGATGTCTACCAAGTTTGTTCAAATAAGAGCCCTGGGGTCAAAATTGGCCCTGCCCCGGGGGTCATTGATTTTTCTTATATGTGTAAAGCCAAAACTTAAAAAATCTTCTTTGAAAAAAACTAAAAGCTAGAGTTTAGATACTAAGCTTGAAACATCTTCTAGTGAGTGTCTACCAAGTTTGTTGTAATAAAAGCCCTGGGGTCAAAATTGGCCCCGCTCCGGGGGTCATTCATTTGCCTTATATGTGTATAACAAAAACTTAAAAAATCTTCTTTGAAAAAACTCAAATAGCTAGAGTTTAGATATTAAGTACGAAGCATCTTCTAGTGAGTGTCTAATAAAAGCCCTGGGGTCAAAATTGGCCCAGCCCCGGTGACATTGATTTTCCTTATATGTGTATAGCAAAAACTTAAAAATCTTCTTTGAAAAAACCCGAATAGCTAGAGCTAAGATATTCAGCATGAAACATTTTCTAGTAAGTGTCTACAAAGATTGTTCAAATAAAAGCCCTTGGGTCAAAACTGGCCCTGCCCCAGGTGTGTCATTGTTTTTAACTATATGTGTAAAGAAAAAACTTGACCAGCTAGACCTTAGATGTTTAGCATGAAACATCTTCTAATGGGTGTCTACCAGGTTTGTTCAAATAAAAGCCCTGGGGTTTAAACTGGCCCCGCTCCGGGGGCCTAAATACAGGTGAGCGACTTCAGGGCCTTCATGGCCCTCTTGTTTTTATTTTATTTTTTTTAATTACACCGAACAAATACTGTGATCATATGAAATAGTCAACTAAATCTAACTGTAACAAAAATAAACCAAGAGTAACAATAAATAAGCTGTCCTTACCTTTCAAGTTTTAAGTGTACTGTACAGTAGGCCTACTTGAGTTTTTTTTCTTTTATTCTTTATGCAAGTGGTGATATCTACCAGTCATAAACATACACAATAAGCTGTGTTTTATTTAGAAAACAAAACACAAACCCATTTATACGGTTATGATCAGTGAAATCTGATCCTTCTGTATCCAGAATATTCATTGGGTTGTTTTTGACCTATGTGTTTTCAAAATAACGATGATGTCCTATGTCTGTCCAGCATATCTGTAATGTTTCACTGATTTAAATTGTTAAATAATCCTTTACTCGTCTGAATGTTCTAGTTTGACAAATAATTTGCATTGCAATTACTTCAAGTGATAACGGATGTTTACCTTTGAACTATTCAACAAAAATATATTTGATACGCGAAAAGCACTCCAGGGTGCAAGCAACTAAATTTGATGAGTGGTCATAGTACTATAGTGATGCCCTATTGTGGTAAACTTCGAAAATAACAATGAATCGAGAATTTTATTTTATTTAGAAAATAGACCACGTGACCAGATTTTATACTGTTACCCCTGTGACAGTATAAATTTCTTGGTCACGTGGTACACTTGCATTAACAGTAAGAATAACTCCCAGAGGCCTATGGGAAATTAACATTACGAAAAAAGTGAGGGGTAATAACATAAAATGTCGCGGGCAAAATACAAACGCGTGTCTATGGTTTGACACTACATTTTATCCCAAGTTTGCATATAAAAAAGTCGAGAAACAGAAAGACATCCGCAATATTTTTTGCAAGTGTTTTAGAAATCCTACAAAAGTCGAGAAGAAAAATTTCAGGCCGCGACGTTTTTAGTCCATAACAGCGGTCTCATCAAATATCGCGGCGAGTTAAAACAATTTTCAGCCCCGAATTTTTTTTCCTGCATAAAAATTCGAGGCTTTATGCTCACACTCGACTTTTTACAAGGTATGCATAAAAAAATATCGCATATTATAATGGCAGCAATCAGCTCCTTAAGGTAGATATTTATTTGCGTAGCTTAGTCTATTATGTTGACAGAAATTATCGCGGTTTCTTTCGTAAAACTCGACCTTTTACGACAGAAGTGTAACAGAAAATTTCGAGAGTTCTATACATTTTATGTTATACAACTTCGACAAAAAACATGGATTTAAAAATTGCCCACGACATGTTATAAGCTAACGGTAAAATTTCTTGCGGCTTTAAAATGGACGCTACCGGCCACCATATATATTGGACAGGGAAGGAAACAATTCAGTGATTATAAGAAATGCAATAAGTACTTAAAAAATAAAGAACTTACCGAAGTAGTTTAGTTTTGAGCTTTGTCTACATATCTTTTATATTCTAGTTGATGATATATTTCGTCGCGAATGTATTTAGTGGGGTTCCAGGACTTGCTGGCATATTTCTTGCTACATTATTCAGTGGAGCTCTAAGGTGATACTATAAATTTTATTACTGAACAAAAAAATATTTTTCAATCTTAATATATTACCTAAAACTCTCTTTAAAACGTGATTTGATGATATCCCTATATTTTTAAATTAATATTTTACTCTCATGAATATAAAATAATTCTTTATATCACGAACAGGTATATATTACCTGATATAAAGATAATCTGTCACTCGATGGTTTTGCCTTTTTCCAGCCTTCTCATGTGTCAAATTCGTTCAAGCTATTATGTAAAGCTTGCAAAAGGTTCACTTTAAATTGCTTTCTATGGCTTGATATAATCTATATATAATAACATGTCAATAATGACGTTTAATCATTTCTAGCTCCCTATCTTCTGGTATAAACTCTATGGCTACCAACACTTTTCAAGATATTCTGGGAAATGCTTTAAAAGACGGATGGCAAAGCAAAAAGACGTTAATTTTGAAACTATTGTGTAAGTATGGCAGAGGAAAGCATAGTCTTATATGCTTGCATATTTTAAGTGAATATTTAAGATGAGTGAATATTCAAGAACTATTAAGTCTTAGAATTATCAGCAAACTTGTATTACAATTGTGAAGCAATGTGTTTGTTTTTCGTTTTGTTTTTGTTCAAAAACACTATGCACTGGTAAACAGGTTCTATAATCATACCTGTATGCTGTTTGCAGATTCTAGCTTTTATATTAAACAAGAGTAAATTAAATTAAATGATATAATGTAATTTGTTATGTTCTTTACCTCTTTCATAATTTCAAGCGTTGGTATATGGAATACTGGCTGTGATCTTGGCATATCTATCTAAATATTTAACAGGACCAGTTACACAGGTAAATTTAATTGCTTTTTAATTAAAAATAAACCCGAAAAATGTCATTCATTTTATTTAACAAAAGCTTTTTCATTTTGCTGTCTTCACAGTATATAAACGATTTGTACCCCAACCGGATCTTGTGAGAAGATCTCAACATCAGTTCCGTAAAAACAGGCGGGATGACTTGTAAAACTTATTAAGACGCTTGCATTTAATATGTGAAGTAATGTAAACATTTAAATCATATTAAGAAATAGTTTATCTTTGCTTACACAAGCAAATATATTGTTTAACTTCACTATAACTCATATCTGAATCTTAACTTTATTGTGTTCCCCTCATGTTACCGGACAGACACTTGTTTAGAGATCTCTGAATATTGATTTAACATAGTAAACAAGTACAAATGTTGCTGCAATGCAGCAATTGAGAAGCTCAGCGCAAAAATGTGCTCATTACAGATACCTTACCAAATCATTTCTGCGCACAAGTCATTTTCTATTTAGATTAAGGACTAGTCATTATTCCGGATGTTTTGTAAATCATTTAAATTTGCATAATTATATTTATCGTATGCGCTGTCCATGACAGAGGGGCCAGATATTAAATTTAAAAAATGCTTTCACTGATGCCTACTTGGTAAGGAAAGTTATTCCAATACAAGCAATACTTACAAGACTTGTAAATGTGTTCTGTTTGTGTCACTACTTTAGTCAGAAATATAAGATGATGAAAAATATCAAAACATGAAGATTTTCTTTTTCACCTATAATGCTTCTCACTTTCTACAAATATCAACAACTAGTCATTTTAGGAAATATTAAAATTCACATGTAAAGAAGCAAAATCGACTGTATTTACAAAATGCCCGTTACATGTTTCGCGCCAAATGGTATATCATGTTAAACAAGAAAAGCATTGATGCAAAGCATCGAATGGCGTCCAAGCAAGAAATGCAGCAAGTGACGATGAACTAGTAGACATCTGATGACCAGAAATTCTTTTAAACTTTTCAATGGTTAATTGGATTTAACCAGAATTGTACATGTATATATATCATAGATGAATGGGCGGACGAAAGACATTGTTCATCATTTGCAAAAAATAAAAATGTTAAATGTATTTTCTTTGGAACGTACAAAACAGTAGTCAAATTGAACAAAGTCTGTTTTATATTATTATTGTAACAAATATACAAACAGCATATAAAAATAAAAGCAAAAGAGACTAATATTGTAATATAACCGGCATTTCTTTTTAAATTGAGCAAAATGGTTTCTTTTATTGCTTTGGACTTAAGATACAGTAGCTATATTTTTAAGTCTCAGATAAATATTGAAAGAAGAACACACACTGGAATGAAACATTTGGGACGAATTCTAAAAGACCAAATTCAGGATTTGTTTGTTATACGCGTTAACAAAAATAATGGTACATTTAAAATCATGAATAAATTTGCATGGCATGATGATATATTGAAACATTATTTATCAATGAAAGACTGTTACCTGCATTTTAGACAGATATCACAGGGTATGAGGAAATTCACTAACATCATGTTCATGGGAGTCAAAGATATAAAAGCTACTTGACATAGGTTATAAATAAAGAGCTATTGTTAATTGATTTATTGGGAGATGAATCTACTATTTTGTTGAATTGCTTCAAAATCCTCGTCTGACCCACCAGTGTGTTTACATTCCTATCAATAAACCCATAACACCTCGACGAAAGTTTCTGTTGTTAAAATACATGTCGCAGTATTCGGCAAATCAACATTCCACTCAAACCACCATAAAACCGATTGCCTTCAAACAAAATGGAATCAACTTCTAATAGCAAAAATTCGGGACACCAGGGTCGATTTAAATAATCAGGGGAGCTATTAATTTACTTTAAATTTTTTTCGATAAGTTATAAAGGGTGCAATTTATGGTTGAATATGTTTGCATTTCATTCTTCTGTTCGTTCTATTACCATAGCGGTTAATTAAACTACTTCTATAAATAGATTTTCGGACTTTCTCAATGTTAAGGTCATTTCTATTTATAGCTGTGTTGCCGTTATGACATGCTGCGAATCACCGCAGGGGAGACCAATATATGACTTTACATAATAGAAATCGAAAGGATAATGTGCTTCCGAATTACTTTTAGCTGTAAATCGAAGGGATTAATTGATAAAAATCGGGTCCATGGACAAAAAAATAGTAAACACAAATAGCTATGCGCCTGTTGGCGATGAGCAATAATAGAGGCGAACTTTCTGAACTGTACCCGTCTTGCTAAAACAATTTTAATGATCTGTACCCTACTTGTGTTTTCACTGAACCATTACTTGCGAGTCACTGTTGATGACTTTAATTGTTTTCGTCCTATGTTTCAAATTTTATCGTGCAGAATATGAAGCTAGTGTGCCACAAGAGCATGACACATCTGTTAGATCTATGGAGCTTCATCATGTTTTCACTGGCTATGGAAATACCAACATAAAGAAGCTGTTGATATGAATCAGAAAGATAACAAATCTATTCTCCATTTACCATTCATTTTTCTTTGGAAAGATATAAAGCTAAGCTATATCATAAGTACTATAAACGTTTCTACTATTAACTATATCGCGTCACGTATCAATCCTCCTCGAAATCGCATCATCACATGATTATTTGGTAGATTATTTATTTCAACATGTTGGAAAGCTTTACACCTACCGTTGATTTCATTATGCTTTTAAAACACGGCTTTATATTCTCAGAAATGCCTTGACTATCTATTCGTTACAGGTACGACTAGGATCACAATTAATAAATAATATGAAGGAGTTTCCTTCATCTTGCCAGTGTATACATAAGGTAACTTGTTAGTTTTCTCTTCACACAACTTAAAAGGTTTATCATTGGCTATAGTTATCTTTAAAACAAAAAATACATACAAGTCCCCAAATTCTTTTTAAAAAAAAAAATTGCCATATACA